AAAGAGGACATACGATGATGAGATCAAGGGTGTCTCTAAGAAGACTGGGAAGCCGTTGAGCAAATACTATGATGATGGCTCGATCATTGACGAGTGGAGAGCCCGCTCGTCGGAAAATGCAACACCGTGGGCAAGTAGCATGGCTCCCAGTCTACATGTGGGCGCAAGGTGCGTATCAATCTATGGTGAAGGAAGGAGCAATCATTCTGACTAAAAGCAGGCTGCACAACGAGATCCTCAGCTTTTACCACTGGGTCAAACCGGTGCGCTATGAACAGATCGTGCGAGAGGACTTGGTGGCGAGGCTACAGGCTGCATTTCAGAGCAGGTACTATGGGGTGCAGCTTCGGCCTTTTGGCTCCTTTGCGTCGGGCCTATACCTGCCCACTGCCGATATTGACCTTGTGCTACTCTCCACGAACTTCATGCGCAACGGTATTAAGACATTTGGTGAACGGAAAGGCCAGATCTATGCATTCTCTGCATTCTTGAAGAACCTGAACATTGCGGTGCCCAACTCGATCGAGACGATCGCACATGCCCGAGTACCCATTTTGAAGTTCGTGGACAAGTTGACTGGCTTGAGGGTGGACTTGTCGTTCGACAATGACAGCGGGTTAGTGGCCAACGAGACGTTCCAGCAGTGGAAGGCTGAGTATCCCGCAATGCCTGTTATCGTGTCCGTCATTAAGCAATTCTTGCTCCTTCGCGGCCTCAATGAAGTCCCAACTGGCGGCCTGGGAGGGTTTTCCATCACTTGTCTCGTCACAAGTCTCTTGCAGCACCTGCCGCATGGACATGGGACACCGAACCTGGGCAGCGTTCTTATGGATTTCTTCGAGTTTTACGGTAACGGTTTTGACTATGATTCCGTTGGAATTCGCTTTAATCCACCGGGCTACTTCAATAAGGTAAGCTCTCCCAATGATGGTTTGTGTGTACACCGACTAATAAATTTCCTGTGCAGAGGGTCTATAAGCTTTCCTTCAATAACAGTCCCCGTCTGTCAATCGAGGATCCCAACAATGCCGACAACGATGTCTCTGGTGGAACACGGGAGATTGCATTGATTTTCAGAGCGTTTTCAGAGGCCTATCAACGTCTCAAGGAGCGCATGATCTCCACAGCCACAGCGGGCCAGACGCAGGCCAGCATCCTTGAAGCCATTATTGCCGCGAACTATGAGGAGTACACTGAGCAGCGGTGGCAGCTCCGGCAGGTCTTCGACACCGATGAAAGATTTGCCCGGTACCGTCGGGATTCCACTCCTCCGCCCCCTCCACCTGAGTCTCCTCCGGCTGATGCTGCTCCACCTCTCCCTCCAAACCCCCCTCCTGCTGCACCCAAATCGCAGAAGGATAAAATGACTAAGCTGCAAAAGAAGCAACAAGCTGCGCGGGAACGTTCTGCTCGTCTCAAGCGCTTGCGTCCCGACATACCGTCCATTCCCTACTCGATCAGCAATGAGCAGGCCATCAGTCTGGGCGGCTACAAGTCGCAATCAGATATGGACAGAGACCTTTTGATGCGAGAGAAGGGGATGTAATATCTCCCAGCCAGAACTAGGGGCTTCTTTCAAAGAAGTCGACTTAAGACTTGTACAGTTTTCTTTCGTCTTGGGTTACCAGTGGGCACACATTTTCTGTATTATACCCTGGGATAGTTTCTCTTTCTCTCACTTTCTGATTTCTTGTCCGCCTTATGAGCGTCTGATACCCTTCTTTTCTTTGGCTGAAAAAAGATATCTGGGAGCATGGTTTACACTGGGGTGGTCTTTTCCTTTTGCTGTTCATTCGGGGATATCGGAGCAATGCTAAATGTGGATGACATTATGCTGTTGGCTATGAGCGCGTGATGAAATATTCTGAAGATATCTCACTAACAAGCTCAATAGAAGCTGTGCTTGGATACTCAATTCACTGTCAAGCCTGGTTGGTATTCACATTACCTATCATATCATAACCCACTGGCCAACAGCCACGCCACGTCCTTCGCTAACACACACACCTCTCTATAGGTTTAATAGATCTGTGTGATGATCTCAGGCCAGATGTGAGTCCACACACACAACCGGCCTGCTACCGATCAGTCAAACAGAGACAGATTTCCCTTCCATGACTTACCTGACTACGCCAGCAGCAGCAGCAGCAGCAGCAGCAGCAGCGAAATTGCAAAATATTGATTTGAAATCTAGAAGCATGAAAATCGAATTGGTACCGTACGTTCACACGGAGACCCTCGCGGTTCTCTTGTGGATTTGCAAACCTTACTTTACTCCCTATTTCCCGTATCCTTCTCATCAAGGGGGCGCTATATGCGGTCGCTTGGAGAGGAAGAGCGAGGTTTGGGAGTTGGGTGGAGATTTGGACTTTGAATTGCGGGATAGGTAGGTAGGTGGTCTGTCTTTTCTATACATGTGCGCGTGCTGGAGGTTGTGTTAAGATCATAAGTGATATATCATGTACAGACGTTGCAGAAACGGTATGCGGTCTAGTTTTTTTCAATGAAGGGCATAGTTATGTAGTGAGCAAATAGATGGAAGCATTAAAGCAAACAACTGAAGTCATGTCTTAACAATGCATATGCATAAGTCATCATCAATCAAGCCTGGATTGTATAAGGTATAAAGGGATAAACTATCTTCATGACAGCGCAACATCAGGCGCTGCAGCAGTGGGTATCTTCTCAGCCGCATCAACTGCCTCCAAAGGCGGCGTAACCATGGACTCATCAATAGCGCCAGCAGCAGCAGCAGCAGCAGCAGCAGCAGCAGCAGCATCCTTGTCTCTCGCAGCTAGATGCTCAGCAGACAACGAATTGACGAAATCCGGAGACGGGCTGTCCCAGGCATAATCAGCCCATTCTGGGCCCAGAATCGTCCGGATATGCTGAGCCAGAGACGAGATGCGACCACGTCTGTCTTTCGACCAAGCACGGTCGGTAATGATTCCCTCCGAGGGGGTCAGGATAGCAGGCGCCTGTGCGGCAGAAGGCACAGCGGACGGGGGCTGCAGTTCTGAGGACTTCGGTTCAACGTCCTCGTCATCGTCCTTGTTCTCCAATCCATCCACGATGCTATGCCAAACACGGAGAGTCTCATCCAACTCTTCGAAATTGCTCACTCCCATCACACTAACTCCCAGTCTCTCCCCAGTGCCCATACTAGCCACGGAGATAAATCCCGGATCAGCATCTCCAGCCTTAGCCAGCGGGGCACCCAGCGCTCCAACCTGCTTTCCTTCGCGCAACCAGCTCTCCAACGAAAATCGGATAGCCACAACCTCCAACTTCTCACCCTGGCCATCGACCCAATCCGAAACCTCCCGGATCTTGTTGCGCAATCCATCTGGCGCGGGGTGGAAATCTCCCATACTGCCAATCGGCACGCCCTGTCTCCGCAACAGACCCATGCCCAACGGGGACGCATTCGTTACAACGTCCACGCCTGCACCCACAAACCTCGGCAACCCGCGTGACAAGAGTCTCGTATTCTGCAGCGTGTAATTCGCATACGACTGCACGATATCCAACGGCTCGCCGGTCTCGCGGAGAACCAGCTCCGCTATTTCCGCCAACACGTCAATGGGGAACCCCGAGATGCCGACATACTTGATGGTGCCCTCGGTATCGCGAATGCGACGCAGTTCCCGGATAGCGGCTAGGGCTTCCTGGGGGGAGACGAACTCGACGTCGTGGCAGTAGACAACGTCTAGGTAGTCGGTGTGTAGGCGCTGAAGACTGCGACGGACGCTTTGGCGCACCCAGGCAGGGGAGTAGTCGAAGGAGGAGGAGGCGATGCGGCCGACTTTGGTGAGGATGTGGTAGGATGAGCGGGGGTGATGGGTGCGGACGTAGTCGGTGGCGAGGGCGCGGCCGAGGAGTTCTTCGGCGGGACCGTAGTAGGGGGATGTGTCGAAGGCGCGGATGCCGGAGGTGAAGGCGCGCTGGACCAGTTCAGTGGTGGGAAGGGCGAAGGGGTCGTGGTTGTATTGGTTGTTGAAGGTTGCGGTGCCCATTATCAGTGGCGGGAGGGCCGCTGAGAGGGGGGTGGAGGGACGGGGCATTGTTGGTCTTTTCTTTATATTTTTGCTGTGTAGATGGAGTCGAAAGTAGGAGAGAAAGTATTTACAAGAAGGAATGAGAGAAAGAGGGCGAGTAAAGGAAGAGGGAGAGAGGGAAAGAGAGGATGGCGAGGGGAAAGAATAAAAGAGCGAAAGGAGGGGAAAGAAAATCTGCGGCGGAGATAAGGGAATCTCACCCGGGCAATATTCCCCGCTGGGGCGTTTCCGCTCCGCGATGGCGCCATGATGGCCACCGATGAGCATTGCTTGATGTTCTTGAAGATGATGGAAGATTATTTCTCATGATTGATTGTGAACGATGCTAGCATTTGTACACAACTCAGTGGAATCATGACCTTCCACGCAATCGTGGAGGGTACTAAAGTACAGGTATCAATCCTCTGAACAGGACACAAGAGGGGAGAAGGGATCATTAAGAACAGAAGAAAAAGAACAGAACACAAAGATAGGATCATCCTTGTACCCTGCTAGGCTCGTAGGCCCTTCGTCTTTCGAATAATATACACATATACTCTCAGTCAGGACGTAGAATGGCCCGGCGAACAAGGCGCAACCAACCCAGACCGTCGAGTCAGCCTGGAATCTGGTATGCCATATGCCCTTCATTCAAATCCGAGTCCATCTGTCTTGACGAGATGCAAGCCACCATATAAATATAGGAATCTAAACTCTTTCCAAGCTGCAAGTTGGAATCACCAAAACGCCATGCTATGCCGCGAAAACCGAGAGGGAGAAAAACAGGAGGACGAGGAGATCGTTAAGAGGGGCTTCCGATGGTCGGTGCAAATGCTTCGACCCTGTTGATGAGAGCCAAGCTTAAATCGATCGAAACGCAAGAACTCCCATATGGCAGCCCGAGAGCAATCAATCATTCCTGAAGAAGTTGAGCCGGGTGCTATAGGTAAAAAAGAAACGCATTCACCGGTCCTTATATACCTTGGGCTTCCAGCCGTCGCGCAGCTCCTTCTCCTCGGCCATCTTGCGCTCGGCCTGTCGGACTTCCATCTCTAACCTCTCCCGGGCCCGAAGAATCTTGCTTTGCAGGTAGAAACTACCACCCTTCTGGGGATCGTTGAGGTCGAACAGCTTCTTGAATCGTTCCATCACTTGCTCCAGGTTGGCCTCGCCGTTTTGCGGGGGCTTGACGTTGAGAATCTTGCAGGCCTCGTCGAGAGTCAAACCGGAAGACATGCTGGCGCCGACCTTCTTGCCCGTCTGCGCGGCGTACTTGGAGGAGGCTTGGGCTTGCTTGTAGGCCTCGGCGAAGGCCTTGCCGAAGACACGGGCGCCCGTGACGACGACTTGAGTGACGATACGATGAGCCTGTTGGGTGAGAAGAGAGCAAGATTAGTATACCTGAGCATGGCGGCCGATCGGGATAGAGGAAGGCATCATATTGGCTTCAGAGGAGTGAGGGTGTCTCCACATACCATGATGACTGGAGATGATAGCCGATGAACGGACTTCAAGAATTAATCAAAGCTCCAGGAGCGACGGCGAACAAAAGAAATGATGCGACCGGGGAGTAGTGGAGGGAGTCCCTGGCTGGATCAAGAAGGGAAGCGGAAAGCGGATTCGATGGCGATGGAAACAGACGGAGAGGGAAAAATTCGGCAGCGCTTTAGTCCGTTTTGCCGTACCGCCGCGGCCTGAGGCGTCCCCGGATTGGTTCCTGGATTGGATGGATGTAAGTAGACCAACCAACTATTGGACTCGATACTATTTGACCGTCAAAAAGAAAGCACTCACCCCCTACCTGATACTTCAGCTGCTGTGTATCTGCTAATTTGTCAAATTCAATAGAACAATGATTTGTTATTGCAGGGTCTCACTGTGTGTGTCTCTCACCTCATCTTCCTTGACTGATGCATCGCATCTATACGTATGTAACGGTCACTGACGGTATCCATACCGGGCCTGTCACTGATGCCCACATTGTGTAAATTGTGTAATCTGTGTATGGTATGGTAATATCCGGGCGAGGCAGGCTGTCACATGTTCCGAGCAGCAGACGAAAAGCTTCAATTCTCAGCTGCACCCGCGGATCTCAGGCTATTCCCCCCTTCCATCCCCGCAGATGATCGCCCTCCAGGGACCTTGTCTCTAACTTTTGGTCCCCCATCTTTCGTTGGGTCTGACCAGCATTTATTGTGTGTCTCTCGCCCTTTTCCTTCTCCCTCTCTCTTCTCCGCGTCTCACCGCCCGCAATGACCTTGGATGCATATGACGTCTCTGTTGTTGGATGGCAGCTCTCGGTAGGTTGATACAAACAAATGCATTTTCTGACTCTGACGACTTTCCACCTCCTATTCTCTTCGAATATCTGGTCCACGTGGACGAGCCGCTCTCATCCACTTACCCCCTGAATACTAATGTCGCGACAGAAGATATTCCGTGGATAGATTCCATGGCCCCATCATCATCCACGCAGGACCATGCTGACTCTCAGCCTCCGACGGTCGCTGCTTTCTCCCCCACCACCATCTCAGGCTCGTCCGTCACATCGAGGCAGCGTTCCAGCATCATCGTGCATCGCAAATCGCCGCTACTGGTGGCCACACCCCCTCAGATCACCCGGGCATTGGCCTACTCGCATCCGTTTATTCTCCCGTTGAACAAGCTCGTTGGATTGCTCACATGGACCACTGGAGACGGCTGGCAGAGCTTCCTGCTGGTAGCAGTATTCTGGACGCTCGTTCTCTATGGCGATGTGATCATTACCTGGACCGGGCCACTCCTCGTGGTCATCGGCCTTATTTTGGGCATGTACTGGCGACGCTACTCCCCGTTGTCGTCCAGGGCTCACTTGAGTGAGAAGCAAGGTCATCAAAGGGCTGCTTCGGAGACATTCCCCCATCGGCATGAAACGCTGGACGAAATCGTGGAGACGCTAAGGACATTTACCACACGCTGCAATATTCTCCTAGAGCCACTCGTGGAGTTTACCGACTTCCTGTCCACGCAGAGGACAGCGACTTCGGCCACTACCCGACCGGCTCTTACGACCTTATTCATTCGGATCCTTTTCGTTACACCAATATGGATCGCCTTGACTCTTCCACCGTTGTATCTTATTACCACTCGCCGGGTTATCATGACCATCGGCACTATCATTCTCACCTATCACTCTCGCCCGGCAAGAGTGTCCCGTGTCATTCTTTGGCGATCGTTAACGATCCGCCGGATATGCTCCATAATCACAGGCCTATCCTTTTCTTCTACAGTTGATAAGGCGCATTCGCTGTTAATGCAGAGCCAGGGCCATGCGATGAGCATTGCGACAAGACGTCGAGGAGACTCCTCCGGTGTGAGATTCACCTTTGTCATCTATGAGAACCAACGTCGTTGGCTTGGAATCGGCTGGACGTACTCTCTGTTCCCGTCCGAGCGAGCTGCTTGGACAGACGAGCATTTGAATCACGTCCCATCTAAGGAGGACTTTGAGCTGCCCGGTGTCGCAAACGGAAATGCTCAGTGGCGCTGGGTCGAAGGGAGTGACTGGCGTATTGAAGGCGCCGACGAGTCAGGAAAGTCGGACGCCAAAGCTGATGGCGGGGGCTGGGTCTACTATGACAACAAGGTGGGACACATTGTTTCCCATGTTCTGACAAATGTCCAGGTTCCAGGGTTACTAACAGCATGGGAACAGTGGAACGACGGTCGCCGTGGTCAAGATGGTTGGGATCGATACACCCGTCGTCGGAAGTGGTGTCGTGACGCCGAACTGGTTGAGATTCCCTCAGCGGGCGAGAGCACCTCGGTGGAGACCAAATCCGGCATCGCCCAGTCACTGGAGCAGGAAAAGGCCGCCAGCGCCCATGAGAAGGAGATCTCATCTACGGTCGACGCCGACGCAGAAAGTCTCGCCCCGTCAACCTCATCCAAGTCCCGCAAACGACGTTGGTTTGGGAGTACGAAGAGTGTAAGCGACAAAGCCAGCAGCATCTCCTCTGCTCCACCAACGTCCACCAATAACTCCTCCGTAGATCTCGGAAAATTGAAGTCCGCCACCCCTACCGGAAGCTACACACCAACCGGGAAGTCCACCGCAACTGCAACCCGACCCATCAGTATTCCGCACGCCCGGAAACCGTCCAATTACTCGGGAGGCAGCGCCAGTCACAGCAGCAGCTTCGGCCGCGAGGGAAGTATCAGGGAGAAAGAGATGTCTCTTGCTCAGGACCGTCTAGACCGCTGGGGCACTCGCGCCACAGGGGGTACTGAACGAGCCGAGCGAGAGATGGGATTAGGTGATGAGGTCAATATGGGATTGAGCTGATCTTATTCAGTCACGGAGGAGAGGTGAAGCGACACTGCGACTGGCGGCGTCTCAAGAGAATGGCATTTTCGGTTTGTGCAAAGCGGACTTCTTATTCATTGTTTTATTTCGGGCTTTTGTTTGCGTCTGGTGGACGGGTGTTTTGGGTACTTCTCTTCTTAGCCTTTATTATTAGTCTGTGCGGTTTAACGCCTTGATGAAATGGAGATACCCTTGTTTACCCATGAGAAGATCTGCTCGGAGCAGTGCCGTAAGTCGAAGACTTGTCAAGCTGTGGTATCAGAAGTGTACTTCAGTGCTTATCATAGATGCTTGGTATTCACTTATTATCTATATACAATATCTATAGTATCTAGGCAAGGATCAAGTCCCATTGTAACCGCTCCAACATGTCCAGCCAATGCACATCGCCTTCTCCCGCCCAGAGAATACTCAACATCTCTTTTGCTCTTCTCACATTACCGATGCCGAAGTTCGCCTCTAATTTATCCAATGAATGTATAACGAGCTCCTGGTCTGAGGGATGTTTGCTCTCGCAGCCAGCAATGAAGAGTGGGAATGTAAGGGCAGAGAATTCGCAGTGTTCGTCGAGTGGGAATTCCCTGATTCTGGACAAGAGCTGATGTAATGCGGTTGATCGGGGGAGTGAGATTGATGGTGATGGTACTGGTTTGAATGGCGTATGTAGTGTTAATTGTAATGGGGCAGCAAATTGTGGTGATAATGGTGATGCCGTTCTCTGGTTCAGTCTTTCCAGAGTGGAATGGAGATAGATGTACGCAGCATCGCGGAAGCAGTTGGCGACCATGCGCAGACGGATAAGGTTCGATTCGGTTATGCCCCGTGGGAGGATATATTCGGTGTTGGTGGGTGCCCAGTCTCGAAGGGATGTGTCGCTGTGTGGTTGATGGTTAGCGGGAGCTGTGGATGTTGTTGAGAGGGGTACTTACATTAAGTGGACCTCTAGGTCCAAGCCTACAGGGTCTTGAGATAGGGTGGGGAGGTCGGCTATTCGGGCGCATATCTTGATGAGGTCTTCTGCGTAGCCGATGTAGATGTCGAGCTTGGAAATTTTGACGTTGCCAATATCAAGATCGTGGTTGATGTGTTTGCGGTTGCTGATTCTGGCCATGTTATAGGCATAAATGTAGCTATGGTGTGGTTAGCTTTGGTTTCAAAGCAGGTAGTTTGTAGAACGAGTCTTACAAGCCGCTTAGAAATTCCCTCATGTCATCTTTCAGGGCATTAACTCCACCGCGAGCCACTATGAGCTCTTGCAGGGCGTTCAGATGCGCGGTCCACTGCTGAACGCTTCCGCGTACAATTTCGTACTTGCAAAGCATGGCTACCGCCAGGATGGCCTCATCGGGAAGGGTCCGCGCTGAATATTTGGCAATTGTCGACTGCAGTCCACTCAGCGTTTGAACGTAGTAGTCTGTTGCGGCTGTCTGGGCCTCCTGTTTGTCCCGGGACCGATTTGCAAAGTGTGTTGCAGATACCGCACACAAAGCTTTCATCAGAAGAGGCGATGATAGGGCCCGGGGTATGAGAAACGATCGAAGGGGGTTGTCGATACTCTCGAGGTTGGCTAGTAGCTTGGAGCCCAGCTCGGTGTGATACTGGAGATAGTGCGTATCGTGATGCGAAAGATGACTGAAGTACCTACTTGGCATGGGTGAAGCCACGGTGAGTGTACCGCAGGAGTCAAAGTCAGTTATGGTAACCTGTTTGTCTTCATATTCATTGTTCTCATTGTTCCAAGAGTATAGACTGCTGTTGTCAGATTCCGCCGGAGTTGTTGGCGCTGTTGATAGACTGCTCGAGACTGAGGAGCTCGGGGACAACCAGAGCTCTTCTTCCGGGACACGCGAATAAGTTGTTGAAGCTGATGTTGTACTAACTCTGCGCCGTTTCGGTGCTCTGAATTGGCTGAAGACATTTGCTGATGGATCTAAAGGCTCTGCCCACATTGAGCCATAGCCCTCACATTTCAAGCCCAACCTGGCACAACTATGGCAGCTATTGTAATCGAGTAGTTAGTGCCTAGTATACCCTAGAACCAGGGACGAACTCCATCATACCAGGGCTTCGCTTCATCACACCGCTTTCGACGACGCTTGCATGTCAAGCAGCCAGACCGTGTCCACTTGGCGCCTTCCCGTCTGCATCTCCGCCTCGTCGGGGTCTGAGTGGAAGGCTGTTGCACCACGGTTGCAGAATTGAATACTGTCATGATATAGGAAAGGATATTCCAGGCTATCTAGGCTTCTAAAAATCAATGCTGCTGGTTTGTTCTCTCGATGCGTGGGACTACTACTAGTATGGAGTAGTCTGGTTCGCTCGTAGATGTATATTTTCCGCGTCGGCAACTTGCATCAACCGGATACTAAGTAGATGGAGAAAAGCCGGCAGCCAATGGATCTGTCAGAAAAACAGCCGGTTGACCGTTAGTCCGAGTCACCAAACAAGTGTACCTTGCTTGAAGCAGACCAGATGAAAATAGTTGAAGGACAGAAAGAGAGACGAAGGATGAGCCTCCAAGAAGGCCGGGGAAGGTCGGCGCTAAACCAAAAGAGGAAGGAGATACGCTGAGATTTGGCAGTTTTTATCGGAGATGGAGAAGATTCCCCCGCTTTTCGATATTCCTTTGCTGAAGATCCTCGGGTGAGTGATTGAGAATTGCAGAGGAGAGTTGATGGAGTATGACATTTGAGAACTGACAATTGCAGTCGTTTATCTAGCAATCATGTGGCTACAGAGATAAGGAAAAGACAGCCGTTATCGGCGGGAAGGGGGGAAGTTTATCGTCGAGTCCGATCTGCTGGATGCCACTATACGGAACAGATATGTTGATGGGATGAATGTCCCATATTACGTCTCTCGGCAAACGAGCGCCTTTTGCATCGCTTATCCTCGCGTTCCTCGGACCCCGAAACGGAGGAGGGAGACCGCAAGGGGAATTCTATGACCAATGCACGGCGGCTATCAGGCTGTCAATCCATGGCAGATTAACAAATTGTCGAGATCTCGAAGCCGCAGTCCCAGACTTACCCGCCGCCCCACTTATCCCAATTAGGCATGTCCATCCAGACCGTGGAGATCCTTGGGTCTCTTGCGGCTTCACCTTCTCCATGAGCTTCCCTTTTTTGCCTTTGTGCTGGGTCCCTCACCGAAAGGGAGAAGTGCTCAATGGACTACATATATCTCGGTTTGCCCCCCGGGCAATGGACACTTGCTGTTCAAGCTCATCCCTCTTGATATGACCTGATTCCCCAAGGACTTTGTCCCAATCTATCTTTCATCATTTCCCCAGTCGCATCATCTCTCCCATCAAGCACACACGCGCGCCTTCTGAACATGTCAATTGCATCTCAGGGGCCCAGCTTGGCCACTTCGGCCAGCCCTCACCCTTTTGATCCCGTCCGGCCTCAGGAAATTCGCTTGGCTGTGCGGATCCTGGAAGCTGCCTTCCCAGGTGTCAAGCTGCGCTACAATCGTATTGATATCCACGAGCCCATCAAGAAGGATGTCGTCCCATACATCGAGGCTGAGAGGTTAAGGAAACCCCTTCCTCCGAAGCCCGCGCGTCTTCTCTACTCTTACTTCTATCGCCTTGATACCGGCGCATGGTGCAAGGCGTTGATGAACGCGGACACCGCATCCGTCGTATACGTCAAGGAATTACCAGAGGGAGTCCAGGTGTGTACAATTTGATTTGACTATGAAGTCCTTGCGCTAACAGTTGGCCTCAGCCTCCAGTGGATATCGATGAATTGGCCGTTATCGAAGAAGTTTGCATGAAGCACCCCGCCGTGCAGGCGGAAATTGCAAAGCTTCAGCTACCCCCCGGCATGACTGTCTGCAATGACCCGTGGATGTACGGCACCGAGAGTCTGACCGAGTCAAGGCGGATGTTCCAGTGCTTCATGTACATGGTGGAAGTGGACCACCCCGAAAACAACCACTATTCCTTGCCTTGCAAGTTCTCCCCGGTGTTCGATGCCTTTACACATGAGTTGATCCGCATTGATTATCTGCCGGGAGGCTCGGATGCACAGGGCGTTGAGACTCAGCCCTGGAAGCCCGTCAAGGCAGTCCAATACGCCCATGACCTGCAGGATGAGCCCATTCGCACAGACCTCAAGCCCTACATTGTGCAGCAACCCGAAGGACCCTCTTTCTCGGTGGATGGCAACTTTGTCTACTGGCAGAAGTGGCGCTTCAGGGTTGGCTTCAACAACCGGGAGGGCATGGTTCTTTACAACGTCACCTATGATAACCGCAGCGTCTTCTACCGCCTTGCGGTATCAGAAATGACCGTTCCTTACGGAGGTAGGCAGAACCGGAGATCTTTTATGTAAAAGATATGCTAATATGGATGATAGACCCTCGCGCTCCCTACCACCGCAAGCAAGCTTTCGACGTTGGCGATGTCGGTTTTGGTCTCAACGCCAACCAGCTAACGCTGGGTTGCGACTGCCTGGGTCATATCAAGTACTTCGACGGCTACCGGGCTGACTGCAAGGGAAACCCGGTCCTGCTGAAGAACATCATTTGCATGCACGAGCAGGACAATGGCCTGCAACACAAGCACACCAACTACAGATCCGGCGCTGCTACCGTGGTCCGCAACCGCCAGCTTGTCCTGCAGATGATCTGCACCGTCGCTAACTACGAGTACATCTTTGCCTACATCTTCGACCAGGCCGCCAACATTGAACTGGAAGTGCGCGCAACCGGAATTCTGTCGACGGTGCCTTTTGATAACACCAATGGCGAGACTGTCAAGTGGGGTACCAACGTTGGTCCGGGCGTGATGGCTCCTTATCACCAGCACATGTTCTCTTTCCGCATTGACCCGGCCCTGGATGGCCACAAGAACACTGTTTACTATGAGGAGAGTGTACCTCTTCCCGAAGACGAGAAGAACCCTTGGCTAGTAGGCTACACCACTGAGCAGACTGTGATGGATAAGGCAGGCTCAGCCGACCTTGACATCAACCGCAACCGGGTCTTCAAGATTCGCAACGACAACGTCATCAACCCCATCACCTACAAGCCCATTTCCTACAAACTCCACCCGGCTCCTAGCCAAATGCTTCTCCAGAGCAAGAGAGCCATTGGCTACGGCCGTGCCGAATTCGCCACCAAGCCCATCTGGGTGACGAGATACCAAGACGATGAGTTGTATGCTGCGGGCGAGTTCACCAACCAGAGCCGACGCGCTGTTGGCGTGGAGACCTGGTCCAAGCGGAATGACCCTACTGAGAACGAAGACGTGGTTCTCTGGCACAGTAAGTCCTACCACTCCCTAACCCCCCTTTGTTGTACATGTACAGAGATCCAAGGATGATTCAGCTAACACGCTCATTCTAGCATTCGGCCTCACCCACAACCCCCGCGTCGAAGACTTCCCCGTCATGCCCATGGAACGCATCAGCGTGATGCTGCGTCCCGACGGCTTCTTCACGAAGAACCCGGCCGTGGATGTTCCTCAGTCATCGCAGAACTTCAACAAGTCTACCCTGCACCCGGAACCTGCTGCGGCAGTCCCCTCCTGCTGCAGTGGATCCAGCAAGGCCAAGCTGTATAAGCGCATGGACTAGAGGAACAGAACCACTTTTTGTTTAGAATTTCGCGATGCATCTGGGATAGGGGAGGTGTATGATTTACGATACATAGCACGTTGTTGGCGTTGGAGGGACCGTATGACGATTACTTTGTATATACTATAAAATGAATGGATTTGCAGTCAGTCACACATAGTACCAAGGGGAGCCTTTCTCCGCACCGACACTCCAGCCCCTAAACCTAGTACTTTTAGTTTGACATGATATGACTAGCAGCACGTCACCTCATACTATCCCCACTTTGGCGAATCCTCTGTGATGTGGGAGAGGACGACCCACCACCATAACAATGCACAATGCATCATAGTCCAGTACAGATGACATGGGGCACGCCTGTTACCCATCTTTGAACTTCATCTATTTGTGAAGCATAGACAGAGACACACCCCCCCTCAATTACAAGCGATACCACCATGATTGTACTATGTTCTAGACACCCTAATCCTGGTAGCAAACCCACCACTCACTGTACGGCGATAAGAAAACGAAACTACTAACAACAAGAGACAACAACACTAAGAATCCTACTAATTTGGCTGGCCCGCCGCCACAAACGCAATCATCCATGCCAGCCAACAGTATATCCCACAACCTAATGCGGTGGCCTTACTCGAGTGCATGCCCGGCGACGAAAATGAACTGTGTAAAGTCTCGTGGGATTCAAATCCCTGTCGGAAGGCTAGGCGCCCAGATGGATAGGCTTGGCAGCTCTTACTGGAGGGGAAAGTGCGCAGTGTAGTGAGTGAATAGTAGTACTAGTACTACTTGGTACGGAGTTCTCGTGGAGGTGTACTTCCTACACACGTATGATTGGTTTGATTGATCTTTCATTTTGACTAGTCTACGATGTGTTGAGGATCCTAGATCATACTCCATTCAAAGTCATGAAGGCGGGCACTAAGGACAAGCCGGAGGAACAATGCCCCTAGTCCAAGATTAGATGAACGATAAACTTCCACTTGTGGGACGTGGTCCATGGTTTGTAGTCCACTAGTAATCGCTTCAATTTCATGTTTAGATTGGTACTTTGTGGAACTGTTCGAGTTTGAGTAGGATAAGCTACATGCCGTGCTGGAGGGGGTCAGGGAGAGTTGGGATATATGTACCTATGTGAAGACGGCCTCGTATATGTGGTAGATATATAGGTTGGTGAACAGATGGATAGACCGGGGCAGGGAAGAGGGGAGGGATGGTGGGAGGAAAGAGAGGAGGAAAGAAAAAGAAAAGGAAAGAAATACGTAACCGCTACGCATGAAACGTTGAGAGCGATGCGTGGCACATGAGACAAGCGGACAACAGACTTTCTTTGCTCGTCTTGGGCGAGTGGTTAATTGTATCCTTTATGTTATATTATATTACTTTATTTTATTTTGTTTTGTTTTATTTTATTTTTTTTCCCTTTGGGACTCAGTAGTAACTAACCGAATCCAGTACCGTAATCGGGGTTAGCTGGAAAATGACTGATTCTAAGGTCCTCAAAGATAAAGCTCACTATGGATACTATGAATAGCTAGACATTTCGCTAGACCTTCCCAGTAGCCTCTCCACCCCTGTTGATTATCCATAGAAGTACGAAAATCCGGACAACCTCCTTGCCAGAATCCCGAGTAAAAGTATTTTTGATCCGGAGCCAATCAGCGAAAGAAGAAAGGGGCATGAGTTCTGATCCAGCTGCTATAGGTAAGTAAGTACTTAGTAGTACTCATTAGCCGGATTTAGAGTAGCGCTTATTCAGCCCTGGCAATTCACTAACTAGTTATGGGGAAACGGATAAAAACATGGATTGCATCTGTATCAGCGGAGGAAATCACCAATGACGAATTCCGATTATCTCCTACGCCTGTTACCCGGATTTGGCATTATAGGAGGACAGAACAGCCAAGCATTACTATAAAATACATGCCTTTCCATTTTTTTTTCTTCAGATATTCTCTTTGTTTCCAGGCCAGCGGACTTCTAGTGTAGTACTTAGTATGTGAAGCTTGTAGTAGCCAATGGAAGATATGAGCTGAGTTTTTATCTGAAATACTGGTACTGTCCAGCGTTGCAGTGCAGTGCTGCAGCCACAGAGTAATAATACTGTGACGAACTTGGCTTCAATACACTCGCAAGCCCCTTGGGTACTAGAAAATTGTTTGCTAGCATTCTCGTGATCCTGGACCTGCAGCACTTACATGCGATATCCGCATGTTGATATACCCGAAAGGGCGAGCACCATCCGTACATTCTTTAGGCGAAAACTCCGCCGGTCACCGAGTTAGCTGCACCTCTATCAGCAGACACTGCGAGTGTAAACATCGTAGTTAGTCTACATGGGCTCATAGGGCGTATAGAAATATTGGCCAATTGAAATATTTGCATTGTGTGTACATTTCATCACCGGAAGCTGCATGTAAATGAGTACAATCGAGATTACATATCAACTACACAGACTCAGTCATAGTTCGAGACCCTAGTTGGCTGACTCTCGGGGTGATACTGGTCCATCACGACCATGCCGACTCGCCTTTGCCATACAAGGCGGATGGTAGGTGGGTGATTCAGTATGTCAGTCACCCAATCACACGCCTTTAGGCTATATTACGAACCCCTACTAGGCACTGAGTACTAGTACCGCAAAATCTGCGAGTTGTCCACTAATGGTTGCCCTCTATAATAGGCCGTTCGTCCGATCAACCCGCCGGAAAGCTGAACAATGCATCTAGTCCATCGTCGACGTGATTTCTCCTCCTCCTCCTTCCCCACTTTGTGATCAAGTACCACTGAAGTGCAGCCTTTCCTCGTGCCAAGATTTGGTGAGATTTGCGGCTATCTGCTACTATCTGCTACTATCTAGTGTACATATAGGACTGGGACCCAGGTGTGTTATGCGGCTTGGTTTTTGCCCCTCGCCTTCTATCTATTTATCAAAACCTAGTACTATCAATTGCCATTACTTAGCTGGTTAGACTTCCCGAGTTCAAACATAGGGGATGCCGCGTCTTCTATCAAAAGCAAACACTGTGCAGCGCTCAAGTCGCCCAGGGATGGCCAGTTCTCCAAGCCAAGAGCAGAAAAATAGGACTGTCCCACAGCTTAGTTGTGTCTTGTGTCGAGACCGCAAGCTTAAGTGTGATAAGCTTGACCCATGCTCTAATTGCACTTCCTCTGGTGTTGCGTGTATGCCCATATATCGCCCAAGACTCCCTCGAGGTCGATACGGACGCCCTGCCCGGTCCAGAACGTCATCTCCTCCAGCTAATGAACGCTACGGAGATTTCAGTAATCCCAAAGCGACGTTGACATCCGAGTATGGGGGCTTGAGTGCACCCGTGGATGGGCTGAAGAGACTTATTCCGGAGGGTGAAACAAATAAAATGGGGCCTGTTGAGGAGGGAAGTGCTCTGCAGGAACTTGTAAGCAACTCAATCCCAGCTTCAATATGGCTTTGTTTCTCTTTAGAATACTATTTTATTTCAAAGATACTAAGAGCAGCATTAACATCCAGGTTTCACAAGTGAGCAAGAAGATACAATGCGCCACAGACTCAACGAAGAATGATCTTGGAACCATCGTTGGAGACCTGTCGCATCATATCCGGAAGCTCGAAAGCCTCTTGCAAGATCCAGGAGCCGACAAAGTCAAATTTAACGAGGCGAACAAGACTGCAGACGCTCAAGAAAACCTTCGAATCGGGAACACTGGTGGAAATACGATGGTAAAGCGCTCATATGGCAGGGCGATAAGAATGAGACAAGGGATCGTCGGCTAACAGGATTGTGAGGTAATGCAGTTAGTCCAAACGACTCTAGGCTTAGAGACTCAACAATTTCCTGCCATCCAAACCTCAAGTCTTGCTAGAAGATGCCCGGAGATATCTGGCAACGATATCTGGACCGAATTTACAAGCAATGGGGTAAGGGCACTCATTACACGTACCCATCATCCCACTTTAGAAGCATAATACACTAAAACTCACTAGATGCATGACTCGTCGGTAGCAACTGATTTGGAGCCGTCTTCCGGTCGCGCAAGCGATAGAGGATTGAAAACGGATTCATTGCGGCGCAATTCCGTAGACCACGGGCCCAACGCTCTCGGCATGCTGAGCATCGGTAATTCGCTGTCCCCTAGCTTCAGGTCACTGCCTCGTGACAAGCTTGGAGCAAGCAAGTTATGCCAGGTATACCTCCAAAACGTGGATCCAATTATCAAGATCCTACACCGGCCTAGCCTCAGCAAATGGATGCTAGATGGGGCATCTGAATATCTGGAATCATCCGAGGATGATATTCCGGTGAGAGCGCTGGAATCTGCTATTTGCTATGTTGCAGCCAACACTATGACAGAAGCACAGTGTCAGGCCACATTCCAACGAAACAAATCGAGCATTATGGCCGTGCATCGCAAATTGTGTGAAGGCGCCTTTGAGAAGGCTGGGTTGCTGACATCGAGAGATATGACCGTCCTCCAAGCCTTCATTCTGTATCTTGTAAGTGTTTAATGATACCGTTAGCAACTGCCACTAATTTACCGAAGATTGGTAGAAGATCCGAAGACAAGGACACCGCTGCTTGGGCACTCGTTGCCCTAGCTGTCAGGCTCGCGAGAGCCATGAGGCTGGATCAAGGGCCAAATAACACCCTGGGGCTCAGGAATCTTTCTTCCAACAGCAGATGCGGTTGCGGTTGTGGCTCACTGTTTGCCTTGTCGACATTCAGGCGTCCTTTGCGCTATGCTCCGAGCCACTTATAACACACAGTGGCGCAGCATGTGCAATTCCAAATGTAGCACATGTCAATGACTCCGATTTCGACGTGAATACTGAATACTCAGTTGTTTCACAGGAGCAGCTCACGGACACAACATTTGCTCTTGTGACATATCATGTACAAGTAGCCGGTCGAGCACTCAACTTTGGCTCACCCGATTGCAGCACTGCCGCAGAAAGACATAAACTGTCTCGAGAAGTCCAACAGCAAGTGTTCACATTGCTACACTACTGTGATCCCGAGTCCTCTCCGTATGCCTGGTTTACCTGGCATAGTACCCAATCAATTGTATCGGCGATCCGTCTGTCAGAGCTGTTACCGTTTCGATTTAGCCAAGCGGGTCGCTATGCTTCGCTGGAATCACCGCGATTAGAAGGCGATACAAGTCTCTTGCGCTGGTCTTTGCAAAATCTAGAAAAGGCACACCTGCTCTGCACCGATCCTCGCGGGAGCGGCTTTCGCTGGTACATCACCATTCCATGCCTCGCGTTGTCCACAGCAATTGGGGAGTGTAACACCTGCAGTGATGTGGAAACTGTTCGGAGGGCGTGGCCAATTATTGAGGCTTCATATAGACAGCACGAAGAGCTTCTAAGTTCGCATAGCTGCCAACTAGCCCAAGCACACCTGATGCAGATGATGAATAAGGCTCGGGAGAAGCTGTCGTCGTTACCCCAGAAAAATAGTAATGAATTCGGTGCAGGCCAGGTAGTGGAGGTTTCTGCTACTGACACGTTGGTGCACATGGTTGCTGAGGAACACGCCCCAATTGATCCCCAATTAGGTGGTGGCATGCCAATTAGCGAATCCATTATGCCCACGGCGTCTTTCACCGTATCCCAGCCGCAACTTGGACATCAGAGCTGGAACATGGCCACAATGCCCATAGACGATGTACATGTGCGGGACGAAATGCTGCTGACAACGGACGCATATCATTCTGTGCAGTCGGAATATTTCTGAACAATCGCGAACGACGACAGGTGAAACTTTAATGGTGCTCTGCCGATGAAAGCCCTTGAAGTCAGAGAAATAGATATTCTTTAATAAGTAGGAAGGATATATGTGTGCGTTAACCCGATTTTCTACCAACATCCAGATCGATGAGATATTTGCTATTCGTTCAGAAAGTGCACTAGATTCAGAGGACAGACGAACTAAGTCATAATCGTCTCGCATTTGATAGGAGCTATTTTCTATGGCCACTGGTAAATACTAATACAATGCTCGTAGTACAACCCGTCCAATCATCCTTCCATCTGCCCCAGTGACAACTTCCGACTGCCGAATTCAATCCAGGCGGAAAATACAATCACCACCTCGTAATGGCTACCGTCTCTCACTCAGCACCCCCCCCCGTGTGCCAAGTTCTTGCCTCACTTATCCAGATGCATATCCAGACATGGCACGTAGCCGGGGCCCAAGTTTCCAGAAAAGTATTGGCCCACCCCATCCAAACACTATGACGATGAAGGCCAGCACACTGGTGCCCCAACCATAACCCAGTCTGTTATACATATAAGGAGCAAAGAGTGGGAATCCAAAACCACACAAACTCCGAAGCACAGCGCAGGCAGCCATAGCGCTGGCCGCGTAGGTTTGGTAGCTGTCAACAATATAGGTTTGCATGCCCTGTAGGCAGGAGATGGTACCCATGGTATAGATCAGCGCCCCGATGTTCGGCATAATCCAGTGAGTATTTCCAATACTCCAGCCGTACCAGAAGAGCCCAATAGTGCTAATAATTGAACCCACAGCCAATGATGGCATTCGGAATTCGGGCTTGCCAACATTGTTGTTCCGGGCTTTTAAAATTCTGTATATGCGATCCACCAGCTTGAGGTTAAAAAAGAGGCCGATGAAAGAGCCAATCGCGATGGAAAGATAATTGAGACCTCCAATTCCAGAGCTCTCGTGGTAGACGTCGGACCAAATATCAGGGAAGGTCGCAAACATCAAATAGGCGACGCCGAAGAGGTAGGCCATATAAAACGCCATACAGAGGACAATAGGCTGTGTCGTGAACATCCGCACCGGCCGCTCAAGCGCATGAAGAAGCTTGTAAGCCAGCGTTTCGACTACCTCCGCAGTATGAAGGTTTTCATTCCCTGTCTCTCTAGCAAGAAGGTCACGGCGCTTCCGTAATAGCGTGCCCGGATGACATTCTTTCAACCAGAAAAACCCAACTACCTGCACTGCGACAGCAGCAGCGGAGGTAGACCAGAATACCCAGCGCCAGGTTGAATACTCGGCAATAAACCCACCAGCGATCGGACCGATTACTGGTCCTAGGAGTGGCCCAAGAGTATAAACACCCATGGCCTTACCCCGTTCTTCTGCGGACCACATGTCGCTGACAGTTGAGATCAGCTTTTCTGCGAGGTGGTTATATCATTTCATCTTTACATGTACTCACCTGATGGCTCCTCCTCCAATAGCTAGCGGTGCACTGCCACCAATACCTGCAAGGAAACGGAAAGCAAAAAGTTGCCCCTTGGTCTTTGCGAACCCACACCCCAGATTCCAGGCCAGATACCACACATTGCTGACTTGAAGTAAACGTACTCGACCGTATAGTTCAGACGCCGGACCGAAAAAAACAGGACCGATAGAATACGCGAGAATAAAGATACTCAATGAGAGATATATTTCGATTTCCGAATGCATCCCCAGCGACTGGGCGAGATCATCTAGGGCGGGGGCAATCATCGATGACGACACGGGCGAAATAAAGACAAACAGTGAAACCGACCAGGTGTTCTTCCACTTCAGGCCCCTCGGCCAATTCTTGGGAAATTCTGGATCATCTTCTCCATTCCAGGTGACGAGGTTTGGATCTTTGTCGGTTTCAGCCTCCTTGGGAGGCTCGGGGGTGGTGATCGGTTTGGGGCCCGCTTCAAGGTCATGCTTGGATGCCATTGCATGTTTTTCGCTCATTTTTTCTCGTATATGATCTTTGTGGTGGTGTAATTTGTGACTCTGATTAGGCTCTGAGGGAGGAAATCTCGGCTCATCTGGAGCAACCTGTGTTTCGTTATATACTATCATATTATACTGCTAGTCCTAGTGAACAGCCCTACTCAATGCAACGAGTGCATATAGCAACCAATCACAAATCCGGATCTTGCTTCGGTCCCGAATTGCTGACCAAGGACCGATGTGTTATCCAATAGGAGACAGCCCTGGATCGGGCCCGGGAGCTGGTAAGCCATCACTCCGATGCCGGGCATATCATGATACTCTCTGGATATTCCACGAGCAAGCAAGCCCCGAGTCGGGTCCTTAGGCAGATGAAAGCTTGCTAAATTGTTGTACATGATACTGATGCTTGCATTTATATACTCTTTTCATTTTGTTTTATTCTATTTTATTTTATTTTCTTATTCTTATTACCTACTTCAGCCATGTAAGTAAGGACCCAAGACATTGATGTCCCTTGTCACAATTGAGAACGAAGTCAAATATTAGAATAGGTAATAAAATAAGTACTATCGCTACTAGGTGTGAAACAATATCTTACTTAGAAGAAAGGCACGTGATAGAGAAATAATGTTAGACCAGGCATCAAAAATGTAGAATCATCTAACTGCTACTGTTAGAATGGCACGGTTATACCCTCTCCAGTCTACTGATCATGTGTCATGCAAGTTAAATAATAACTACAATTTACTATAAACTACTCCAGATTATGACATCTCTAAATTGACAGAAACAATGTGTCGATGTAGTTGCCCATTAAGGGGGAAATTACGTGGAATAGTACAATGAGCAGTTGAGTCACCTTGGTAGTGGAATGACACTGAATGGCTGTGCTAGTACAAGTGGGGTTGAATAAGTCGAAATTAGGATAAAATAAAGAATGCGGATTTAGGGGAAGAATGATCAAAAAAAAAGTGAATGTTTCTGGTTTCTGGTATATGTTAAGTGTTACGAAGGAAGGAAAAGCCGGAGTGAGGAAATTTCGCTCTCTCAATTCTCTCGAACTGAATTCGTATCAAGAAGTTTCACCTCAGGACCTGATTGCCATCAGTTGAGGCGCTTGCACGATTTGAATGGTGCTATAACGAGTCACCAGCAAAGCTACTAGAATACCGGTGGCCGCATCTCATGACCCGGATTCTGCTGGCGCAACAAAATCCGCAAAGTCCAGAGCCGTTCCACATCCAGGTTCCGATCCAATGTGGGCAGAAATCTTCGATACGGGCTTAGTGCCTAGTGCGATTCAAAGCTGAAGTGATGATTTTAAGAAGAGTGTAGGCGAAAACCAGCTGATAAAACCCTCCCTTCTAAGCATCAAATCTTCCTCTCGCAGTAACTCATTCCTACGACTTGTAGGTCTTCCTTCCGCCTCGACGGTCCTCGACTCCAGTAATCACAATCGATACATCGCGGTCATGGCTCTATCTAGCTATCTGGAAAGCTTGAATTATGCTCTCGTTTTGAGAGCACTCGCTTGTGCTTGGGTGGTGTGGTACTTTTGTGGCGTCTTCTATAACATTTTCCTCCATCCTCTGGCCAATATTCCAGGACCGTTGCTGTGCAAATTCAGCAAAGTACCGTGGGTATGTTTATCTGGTCTTTCTCCTGTTTCCCCTTGTTCGCTACTAATTTGCAGGCAGGACTACTGGCAATGGACAGGTTGCCTTCCTCAGCAGACGGCTAAGGTGCACTCCAAGTACGGAGAGATTGTGCGAATCGGCCCCAACGAACTCAGTTTCACCAATAACGCGGCGTGGAATGACATCTTTGCCAAAGTTCCTGGGAGGGCACAATGGCCGCGCCACCCCAAGCGTGTGCCTCAGGGCAAGAACGGCCCTCAGAGTATCATGAACACCGCGGGAACATACCATGCTCGTTTTCGACGATTGTTGAACCACGCATTTTCTGAAAGGGTATGCAAGAGCAGCAACACCTCATTACCAAGTATATTGATATCTTCATCAACAAGGTAGACGACTTTGCGCGTACGGGCCAGTCAATCGATGTGACCAAATGGTTCGTGATGGTGGGCTTCGACGTCATCAGTGACCTGGGATGGAGCGAGCCGTTCAACTGCGTTGAGAATGGCGAGGTTCACGAATGGGTTGAGACTTCCTCCATCGAACCCCATTTCTGCCCTTCTCCTTGGCCACACTGACAAGATGAGAACAGATGAAAACTTTTGCCGAGACTGCCTTCGACACCCAGCTCAAATTCCTCTTCCGCGAGCGCGGTCTGATGTTCCTGGCCCCGTACTTCATCCCCATGAAGCTTCAGCTCGCTCGTCTCAATAATTTCAAGTACGCCCGCGCTCGTGTCGAGGAACGTATCAAGACCGGCAGCACCCGCGGGGACTTTTGGGATAAGATCGCCATCAGAAGTGCAGACGGCAATGCAAGCGGCGAGGGCTTGACTAAAGAAGAGATGGTGGTTGCCGCTGTGACCCTGGTGGGCACCGGATCCCATACCATCTCGACGCTACTCACTGGTCTGGTTTACTTCCTCGGTACCAATCCTCATGCCATGAAGACGCTCGTCGATGAGATTCGTTCATCCTTCAAATCGCCTGAGGAAATCGATCTGGTCTCTGTACACAAATTGGAATACCTGACTGCGTGTCTCAATGAGACTATGCGGCTGTACCCACCGGTCATCAACATGCTTTGGCGAACGCCACCCCGTGGCGGTGGTTATGCCTCGGGAGTTTTCATTCCGGAGGGTGTGAGTTTGGCTTCCGTTTGGGTTTCTCGTCATTGGCCTTGCTAACCATATTGCCACTTGTAGACGGGTTGCAATATGTCTTTCTTTGGAATTGCCCAAAACCCTGATTACTTTACGCGCCCGCTGGATTTCTGCCCCGAACGGTTCCTATCCGACCCACCTGCCGAATTTCTTGATGACAATCATGAGGCATACCACCCATTCAGTTTGGGTGCGTATAACGTGAGTTCAGTGGTCACCAAAGCAAGGAGTAATCCTTGGCCAGAATTATTATGGACTGACTTGTCTCTGTGGGTAGTGCCTGGGCCAAAACCTCGCCAATGCCGAGTCCCGATTGATCACGGCAAAGCTTTTGTGGCGCTATGACTTGGAGCTTGATGGCAAGGTTGACAAGGACTGGCTGGATCAGAAGTCGTACGGTGTATTCATTAAGAAAGATCTTCCTGTGAAATTCCGCCCGGGTCCCAATGCCCGGAACGTTCCCGACAGTAAAGCTGTCAAGATCAATGGCCGCGCAAACGGTGGCGCTAAGTAAATTGCGCATATTGCAAGATTGCAGCAATACCGAAGGTATCGAGGTATGCGTAAGTTGCGCGTGAGGAGGAGATGACGCTACGCACGAGCGTGTCGAAGTCATTTGGTGGCGCTAATGTATCTAGATATCTTGTCTTTCTCAGATACAAAAAATAGTTAGATTCAGGGGGTTTTGGCTGGGCGTGCCTGTCCGTTTCTGCCCCAAATCTCAGCTGAGAAAACGCTCTTATTCACTAGTAGTATTTGCATACAGAGCAAACTGATCGGAAGATTCCCGGATCCTAAACTAGTACTCTAGCCCCTTGCCCTTGCCATTTCCTCTCTGGAGCGATGCGCTCTATGCGTGTCTTCTGCCCAACCTATTAGTAAGTGGACCAGAGGGTTCCGCTGTGATGGGGCCCTGGACGGGTTTTAGTGGACTTGATGTCAAAACCCGAATTGGACGACCCTGTCGTTTGTGGCCCACCTAGGACAGGTTCGGTGTTAGGGACAGGTGCCTGGCCGGAGCCTTGGGGCATAGTCCTTAATATTTTGTGCTCTCTGCTCAGGGCCACGATTTGCAGAAACGCCTTGCTTCATAGTATTCGAATAATCAAGTCTCTTCCGCACTAAAGTGAAGACCACTTCTATTACAAGTGTGACTCCTCAAATAAATGAATTGAGAAGCCCGGTTTCAATGGGTGGCAACATGGAAGGAACTACCATGATTTCTAGCGAGTGGACCGACCCCGGGTCGGCTGCCTTTGATTTTCGCAGTATGGCCTCCCCTAACTCCTCAACATTTGATGTCGCTGCCTTTTCCCTGGTCAACAGGCACATCGCTAACTAGCTACTCACTACCACAGGCGATACCGTTACGCGGCCAACAAGACAGATGTTGGCTGCCATAGCAGACACGACATTGCAAGACGATGACTTCAGAGAGGATCCAACAACCTTGGAGTTGGAGGCGAGGGTTGCAGAGATGATGGGCAAGGAGGCAGCGCTGTTCGTGATCAGTGGTACGATGGGCAACCAGCTGGGTGTACGAGCGCAACTAAAGGGCCCACCACACAGCGTGCTCTGCGACGCTCGTAGTCATCTCGTAACGCATGAAGCAGGTGGGGTAGCCAGTCTGAGCGGCGCAATGGTGGATTGTGTGAGCCCGGCCAACGGACTCTATTTGACGCAGGCAGATGTCGAGGCGCACTTCAACCGCGGGACTTTGATTACCGACTGCCCTACACGGCTGATCGTCCTAGAGATCCCCCTAGGTGGCGTGATTATGCCACTGGCTGATTGTCGCCGCATCAGCGAGTGGGCGCGCGCCCAAGGCATCACACTGCATCTGGACGGGGCACGTTTGTGGGAGGCTGTGGCTGCTGGGGCAGGGTCGTTGTGTGACTACTGCTCCTGCTTCGATAGTATCAATCTTTGCTTTTCCAAAGGGCTGGGCGCCCCAATTGGTTCAGTTTTGGTCGGGTCAAAGGCCTTGACCAAGCAAGCTCGCTGGATCCGCAAGAGTATCGGTGGGGGCATGCGGCAATCCGGGGTCGTGTGCGCTGCGGCCCGTGTCGCCGTCGAGGACACCTTTCTGGGCGGACAATTACAGCGTTCTCATGCTCTTGCTCGGGACATTGCTTCCTTCTGGGAGACCCACGGCGGCAACCTGGTCTATCCGGTGGAAACGAACATGGTGTGGTTGGACTTCAAGCCTCTGGCCTGGGGCCCCGAGAGGTTGATTAAGCGCGGTGTGGAGCTCGGATTGAGGTTTATGGGTGCCCGTCTGGTCGTGCACTACCAGATTAGCGACGAAGCGATAATCCGACTTAAGGGCCTGATGCGTGAGATACTATGTAGTTAAGCACTATTAAACACTTTGAGCCTTTGAGAATGGAGATGATGCACGGGTTAAAGATTGGGCTGACATTGACTTAAGAGGTAGTTGTTTGTGGAGTAACTACCAAGCACGTGTTATCTGGCCACCCACAAAGTTTCTACTATAATGAGTTTAGCGCCCCAAATCAATTTCAGCACTTGGTCTTCTGCCACCGCCCCCCCCCCCGGGGCTTCCCTCCATTAATCATAAAAGGAAAAGACACAAAAAAAATAGAAAAATAATCACTAAATTTTGGACTCTTTTCTATTCTCTCACTTGTTTTAATATTCATCTTATAGTGGTTGCTTATAGCTATTCACATGGCAGAGCTTGCCCCCAAAGATTCGAGGGCCAATCGGGTCAAGTCGAACTAGATTAGTCGGACTCAATATCAAGTTATATAGAGAATACTGACTTTGTCTATGCTTACCGGGATCAATCTAGTCATTTGTAAAGGGGTAGTGTCATTTGACATCTGCGAACAGTGCGGAGAGGTCGAGCGACCTATGTATACCCTTGATCAGCGTCACTTCCATCTAACTATCCATTGACTATGTGAGATTTTCCATGACTAAGTTTTCATAGCTACGCGAGTTCCATTAGTTAAAGAAACAGCAATGGAGGCTGACTGCAAGTAATTGTCTTTTCCTGTTTTTCCATTGCTCGAAGCGGAGGTATGCCTACTAATCCGACCGGTATGACACAGAAATAGCAGCACGTTGTGCTAAAAAACAATGTCACAGTTCCATTCTGCCTAGTACCAATACTAATAGATGCTACATGTCTTTGGGGCCTCAGACCACAATGGCTTCTTGACGTTCCATTCCACCCGTAAGAATCGGCCGTCTCTCCTGCTCTTCGCGCGTCTCCCGGAATACGTCGAACTTCTCATCATGCCATTGCTTAGCCGATATATTCCGGCCCGTGCTATCAGTGAATATGGTATCATTTGCCGCTCGCAAAAAGTATGCAATGCTGTAGCGGTCCTCGTGCTGCAGACGCTGTGTGGGAATAACCCTATGCACAGCCGACCGAAAGCGGTTGCCTGATAGGAAGCGAAGCGTATCGCCCACGTTGATCACCGCATGGCCTTCCCGCGGAGCCACGAATCGCCATCCCGCAGGGGCTTTGGATAGCACCTGCAGTCCCCACTGCTCACACAGGAGGAATGTCAGGGTTCCAATGTCCGTATGCTTATTGTGGCCCACCCCAATGTCGAGTGTCTCCTGCTTGGGATAGCGGAACATTGACAGTGTGGTGAGGGACTCGGCCTCTTCACGATGGAATTCCTTGAACGAGGCACGCTCGCCGCCCAATCCGAGCTGGCGGTCGAGCTCCTGCAAGACAACCATAGAGACCTCATGGGTCATGTTACCGAATCGATGGAAAAGATCCTTGTGTTTGCGAATCCCCGGGGCCAGGGCGCTACTATCGCTATGCAGCTCGTCACGCGACGCCTTCAGCGATTCATAGTAATCAGGTAACGACATCATGGCTCCGGTGGAGGTAGCGACCGGCTCATATCTGTATTTACCCCAAGGTGGGTTCAGTCAGACATGGACACTTGTGAAAGAAGAGGGTTTGCATGACAGCTTACCCATGCGTATCGCTCCGTCGGTCGTCCTTCATCTTTTCAGTCAAGTCTTGATGAAAATAATCCTCCATAAAGCGCAGGACTGACTTGTGGTCTTGCAAGAAGGCAGGCGCACTGCTCAAGTCCAGGTAAAAGAAACCCTGTCCCTCGCATGCAGCGAGCAGTCTCCTGCCTTCGTCTGGATCGCCCGACTTCAACTTTCCCCAGTTAATCACCGACAGCGGTGCTTCAGGTAAAACAGAGGCCATAGTACTGGAACCAGAGGGGCCGGAGCTGTTTGGAATGATATCGAATTTTACAAGTTCCAAATTGATAGAGCAACTTGGACAATTATATCCTGGGAACCCGATAGACCAAAAATTGGAATTGTAGTGTATGGCTTGGTTGGCAGGCCAGCGCTTCTGATGGTCTTCATAAATTAAAGACAAACGGATTTTGGTCAATGAAAAAGACGCAATCAAGGCGAGGACTCGTTCTAGCTAGTGGGAGAACTGCCTTATGTCGGACATTGTTTCGACTGTTCCTTTTCCCTGCTCGAGCACCGATCTACGCCTCGGCCTGCCACCTTCTTTCTCGTCTGTGATGTTGCAGTTTCGAATGAATCAAGAAAGCTCTGATGTTCATCCCTACTCCAAACCCAGTTAGTCTGTATCTTTTCCTTAACCCTCCCGCCTGCTACTCTGGTGGTTTCTGCCCCTCGGGTTTTGTTTTGTATAACAGCCCAGAACTAACACCGGATTTTACCGCAGGGGCGCGATCCGCGATAGTGTCGACCAGGAACGCATGGATTTTGTGAGAGAATAGTCATATCAGGGGTAATATGTCTCTACCATCACTGTCCAAAAGCCGGGCGCAATAAGGTCCATCTGCGATCCGTTATATATACACTGGCAGAGTCCAAGGAAGTGGCTCACTCACTCGGCCACTAGTCAGAGGTTCAATCATAAGAATCAAACCCAGCCCTTCTTGAAAAATGGGTCAATCTTCTGAGCCTGATGGCCGAGACTCTACCCACTATATTCCTACTCCAAAACTGGTGTACTTCGGGAACGAGTTCCCTAACGATGACGTGAATGAGTTATTCCGCCGCCTGCAACAGCACAGCAAGGACCGTCGATTCCGACTTCTCAGTGCGTACCTGGAGGACTCGATCTTGGTACTGCAGGATGAGATAGCCAAACTCCCACACTCTGTGAATAGCCGGGTGCCGCATTTTGACAACATCGTGACTTTGTCTGAGAATGGTTATTTACGAGAGTTGGGCCTCGGTGCGGCCATGGAAAGTGCCTTTTTACTGATATTGCAGCTTAGTTTATTTATTGGGTAAGTAGCATTCCGGTTCTCTTGGGTTACATCTGCTAACACGTAGCGCAGACATCATGAGGCTATTGACAGCGACTTCGATCTTCCGAAAGATGTCACCATCGTGGCTGGCCTTAGCGTGGGCCTTTTTTCCGCAGCCGCTATAGCCCTTTCAAATTCGCTTGCGGAGGTCATAAAGAACGGAGCAGAATGTCTCAGGGTATCCTTTCGGCTGGGCGTTTACGTGGGCGACTTTTCCAGCAAGCTGGAGGCCCCACAGCCGGAGGGTGCACTTGCAAGCTGGGCTTATGTTGTTACCGGCATGGAAAGGGACTCGGTCCAGAGCGAGTTGACGCGGGTTAATCAAGACTTGGGAACTCCTGAGATGTCCAAGGTCTTCATTAGCGCGGCTGATAATTCTTCTGTGAGCGTCAGTGGGCCGCCATCACGTATCAAAGCGGCTTTCTTGCATTCCAGTGACCTGCGATACTCAAAGTCCCTTGCTCTACCCGTGTACGATGGTCTTTGCCACGCCAACCATATATACAGCCAGGATGATGTTAATGAAGTTTTGAACACTCCGATGTCCCTTATTCCGACCACACGGCCGCTACGACTCTCTGTAATATCATCACGGACAGGGAAGCCCTTTACAGCCACCACGGCAAGCGGTCTGCTTTCAGAAATCGCCACCGAGTTGATCACGGGCACTATCTATCTTGACAACATAATCAAGGGCATTCAACACCACATTGGGGCCTTCTCCGGAGCGGGGATATGTCGCATCGACTCATTCCGCACCTCCATCATCTTCAAAAGTATTCTTGAGGCCATCGCCGAAGACCACCCTAGGGTTACTATCAGAAAAAATGACCTGGTAGATTGGGTTCACAAGGATTTTGGTCCTCAACTTCGTAATAACCCTGCAAATTCCAAATTGGCCATTGTCGGCATGTCATGCCGGATGCCTGGTGGGGCGAACGACCCTGAAGAGTTCTGGCAGCTGCTTGAACAAGGCCGTGACGCCTGTACAACAATCCCTCCAGATCGGTTTGACCTCGAAACGCATTATGACCCGACTGGCAAGACCGAAAATGCAGCTCAGACCCCATATGGTAATTTCATCGACCGGCCTGGCTATTTCGACGCTGCATTCTTTTCAATGTCTCCTAAAGAGGTATGTGTCGTGGATCACTGACACAGGGACTGAGGGCTAACCCGTTCCGTAGGCTGAACAGACAGACCCAATGCAGCGGCTCGCTATAGTGACTGCTTTCGAGGCCATGGAGATGGCTGGTCTCGTGATTGGACGTACACAATCTACTAGGCGCGACCGGATTGGCAGCTACTACGGCCAGGCCAGCGATGATTGGCGTGAGCTGAATGCGTCGCAGAACATCGGCACCTACGCCGTGCCTGGGGGAGTGCGAGGTTTCACTGTTGGCCGCATTAATTATTTCTTCAAGCTCTCGGGCCCCTGTCTTTGTATCGATACTGCATGCTCAAGCTCGATGGCTGCGGTGCATGCGGCTTGTATGGCACTCTGGGCGGGAGATATTGATGTCGCATTAGCTGGTGGCGTCAATATTATAACAGATCCAGATAACTACGCGGGTCTGGGAAACGCCCACTTTCTCTCCCCAACGGGCCAATGCAAGGTCTGGGATAAAGGAGCAGATGGTTACTGCCGTGCCGAGGGAGTTGGCTCTGTTGTTATTAAACGGCTGGAGGATGCTGAGGCTGATAACGATAACATTCTAGCAGTCATACTTTCAGCCGCAACAAATCATTCTGCAGATGCTATTTCAATCACGCACCCCCACGCTGGCCATCAGAAAGAGAACTGCCGCAATGTTCTGCGCAAAGCAGGTATTAGTCCACTGGAAGTGGGCTTTGTTGAGATGCATGGCACTGGTACTCAGGCTGGTGATGCTATAGAGTCAGAGTCAGTTCTGGATGTATTTGCACCTTTGAAGCCTCGGCGCCGTGCAGATCAACGGCTATATCTCGGTGCTGTAAAGAGTAATATCGGTCATAGTGAGGCAGCCGCTGGTATCTCCTCGCTCGTCAAAGTACTGTTGATGTTTCAGAAGAATGCCATTCCCCCACATATTGGCATTAGGAGCGAGGTAAATCCGCAGCTCCCGAAGGATTTGGACCGGCGCAATGCTGGGCTGGTATTCCAAACAACGCCATGGACTAAACCCGCAGCCAAAAAGCGCATCGCCCTGGTCAACTCCTTCGGTGCCCATGGCGGAAACACTACATTATTACTTGAAGATGCCCCGGAACGTCAGAGGCCGCGCGTCAGTCCTATGAGTGCAGATGGACGTTCTGCCTACGCAATTACAGTCTCTGCCAAGAGCAAGAAGTCGCTGCAGGGGAATCTCAGTAACCTTCTTGCCTACCTCGAGCAGAATCCCGATATTGATCTGGCAGACTTGTCATACACGACCTGTGTCCGGCGTACGCATCACAATCTACGTGTTGCTACTGTAGTGTCCAGTATTCCTGGGTTGCAGAAGTTTCTGCGCTCGTCGATCGACAATAATGTTGCAACCACAGTGCAATCAGTCCCAGCTAACTCACCCTCTGTGGTTTTTGCCTTCACCGGCCAGGGAGCCTCCGACCCTGTGGCCTGTCAGGAGCTATTCGACGCGTTCCCCGCGTTCCGTACCCATGTCTTGCAGCTAGACCAGCTTGTCCAACGCCTGGGCTTCTCGTCGGTCGTGCCTGCTCTCACAGACAGCACGGGTGAGGGGTTGTTGTCTCCAGTGGTGAGCCAGCTCAGCATCTTGGTCTTGGAAATTGCCCTCGGGCGTTTCTGGCGTACTCTTGGGATACGGCCCAGTGCAGTAATCGGTCATAGCCTTGGGGAGTACGCTGCGCTTGAAGTCGCTGGGGTACTGTCAGCTGCGGACGTTCTCTACCTCATCGGTCGCCGCGCGCAAATTACCGAACAGCATTGCAAGCCGTATAGTCATTCCATGCTGTCAGTACTGGCTTCACCGGAGGAAATTGAGCGACTGCTTCGACGAGTGCCCGATACCTCTAATATAGAGTACGAAGTATCTTGCCAGAACACCCACAAGGACACAGTTCTTGGTGGGGCGCAGGCCGACATCGAGTCTATTCGCAAGGTACTCGAATCGAACAGCTATAAGTGTGTTCTTCTGGCAATCCCATTCGCTTACCACACCTCTCAGATGGATGTGGTGGTAGAGGAACTGGAAAAAATCGCCGAAAACATACCATTCAAAGCTCCAAATGTTCCTGTCCTATCCACCATGCTTGGTACTGTGGTTTTCGACGGCAAGACCATTAACTCGTCATATCTGCGCCGCCAAACCCGGGGCACGGTCAAGTTTGCTGCTGCGGTTGAAGCTGCACAAGATATGGGCCTGGTTGATAGTAAGACGGTCTGGGTTGACTTAGGCCCGCACCCTATCTGCATCGGCTTTATCCGCAAGATACTTCCAGAGTCGAGACTCGCAGCTTCGTGTCGTCGCAATGAAGAAAATCTCTATACACTTACCAAGAGTCTTGTGACACTGCACCTGGCAGGCATCACGCCAATTTGGAATGAATATTTTCGACCTAACGAGCAGGCGTACGCATTGCTCAATCTGCCCAGATATAGCTGGAACGAGACTAATTATTGGATACCATACCTGGGAACTTGGACACTTGATAAAGCACTTCTAAAGTACGGCACGGTCACCCCCGGGTCCAAAACACCTGCAACACTCGCCGCAACAGGGCTGCGAACCTCAACAATCCACCAAACGACGCTCGAGAATATCGAGTTCACGAAGGCCACACTGCACGTATTGAGTGATATGCAGGCTCCCGAGTTCCGCGCCACCTTGCATGGACATACCATGAACAACTGCGGTGTAGCCACCTCGTCTATTTGGACGGACATGGCGTGGGCGGTGGGTGATTATCTGTATCGCAAGGTAGTGCCCCATGCAAAGGAGGTGTACATGAATGTCTGTGATCTGGAGGTTCTACATGCCCAGGTCAGCAGCACGGTTAAGGGGTGCTCTCAGCCACTTGCACTCGAGGCAAACCTGGACCTGGAATCGCAATACATGTCACTAAAATGGTACAATGTCAGTGCTGTGACAGGAGAGCGAGATGCTGAATGGTTCGCCTCGGCTGCAGTCCGCTTTGAGAATCCAGATGCATGGACCGCTGAGTGGAACCGCACGGCGCATCTAGTTCTGGGGCGAATTGAGACTTTGCAGCGCCTGGCCGCCGACGGCGTGGCCAACCATATCTCTAAGCGCCTAGCATACACTCTTTTCAAGAACGTTGTCGATTATTCCGACTGGTATCGCGGCATAGATAATCTGATCATGCATGAATATGAGGCTGTTGCTAATATCACGCTCAATCCAGATCGTCATGGCGTCTGGCACACGCCACCTCACTGGATTGATAGTGTCTGTCACCTGGCAGGGCTTATTATGAATGGCAGCGATGCCTCCAACACACAAGACTTCTTCTATGTCACGCCAGGCAGTGATAGCTTCCGCCTCCTGAAGCCACTCGAAGCCGGGGCAAAGTATGTCAGCTACGTCCGGATGTTCCCTCTACCAGTGGAGGCCGGGAACATGCACGCAGGTGATGTCTACATTCTACGGGACAATGTTATCGTCGGTGTGTTGTGCCAGATCCGTTTCCGGCGTGTGCCACGACTCTTGTTAAGTCGGTTCTTTTCACCCCCCAATGATTCTGACAATGCCGTCGCCCATCACACGCCCGCGCCTCAAGGGACCCAAGCCCCGAGTGTTTCGGCAACCACCAAATCGTCGCAGCCGCGGTATAACGGACTGGCTACAAAGCCCAGCCACGTACAGACCGGTCATATAGCGGCGGTTGCATCTGTGAGTCAGGATCGGTGCACTACTAGTAGTAGCGGTCGTGGAAGCGATGGTGATGGCTGTGTTTCTATGGGCAGTGAGGCTTCGACCGCCTGTACTACCACCACACCTCCTGAATCGGAAAGCACCGACTCGACATTGGTTGAACAGTGCATCAAAATCATATCGCGAGAGACAAAACTGAATATGAGTGATCTGACGGCTGACGCCACCTTTGCCCAGCTCGGAGTTGATTCCTTGATGTCTCTGGTGCTGTCAGAAAAATTCCGCAATGAGCTCGGTATTGATGTCAAGAGTTCTTTGTTCATCGAGTGTCCGACAATCGGTGAGGTGAAAGAATGGATTGATCAGAATTGCTGAAGATGAAGCGGCTCCCAATGTGACTGGGCTGCTTCGACGTCATTTGGTGTATGCTGGTTTTCTTCTTCTTTCCTTTTCTATATTTCTGCTTTCTCTTGTGTCTTTTACGTCTACAGAATTTGCAAGAATCCGGTTACTACTTCATTCAACCAAGACATTCATAGTATCAAATAGGAATCTAATCATTCCCCATTTCATGCCATTCCATGTCTAAGTCAATATGATAGGACTGGTAAGGGAGGTCACGTGATGGGGTTCCGAGCCTCCGTCGCGCTCAGATAGTATGCAATCATTTTCTCTACCTTTCCCAACTTTTGACCTACATCAGAAATATCCATGCTTTATAGAGAAGTTTACTATGTCCTATTATTCCGTTGATTTCGCTATATATAGAGTACTCGCAATGATTCATCTCAATTCCGACTTGCCCAGTCCTGAAACCACCGCAGACACTCGACATTCACTGTACCCGATCCTCCGGCATTCGAAATTTCGAGACCACTTATTATCTTCTTCACCAATACCTCAACTTTCTTCCCGTTTGCCGTCACTGGAATCTCTGGACACTCGCTGATCAACCCTGGAACATGTCTTGGTGAGAGCTCCTCCCGCACGGTACGGCAGATCGCCTCAGTTAGGGCCAGCGTCCAGCGCTGACCCTGGCGCATCTTGATAAACAACACAACCGTCTCATCAGAGTCCTGTTGCCGACGCCGACCCACGCACAGCCCATCCTCAATCTGCGCTGCGAAACGATGCTGAAGCAAGTTGTATATTTCTGCACTACCGAACCGCACACCGCTGGGGTTCAGTGTCCCATCCGACCGGCCTAGCATGATCAGTCCGCCCGTGCGCGGATTGATCCGGATGTGATCACCGTGAGCCCAAATTCCAGGGTATCTGGCGAAGTAGGAGGACTGGTATCTCGACGAACCTAAAGCGCCCCAAAACTGGATCTGGATGATGTGAATGAGATCGATCAGTCGTGCTTATATCGGAGAGATCATACAGTGAGGGGAAAATGCCGTGGCGGGAAGATGAATATCACGAATGGAACCTTCCTGGACAGACTGAAACACTTACCGGTTGGCTTGGAAATGACTTGACGCACACTAGCTCCCCTGGCTCGCCTGTCGCACTCAAATCAACACCTGTGGGCCCACAAGTCTGAACTGCCATACCCAGCGCGATCGCTTGAATCTCCCCGGTGACCACGGGCTTCAACGGGGAGGGCACGCCAAAATCGGAGATTATGTCCGTTCCGCCTGATATCGAGCCGAGATTCACATGCGGGCCGAAAGCTCGATAGATGTAACGGAATGTTGACGGGCCAAGCGGCGAGCCCGTGGAGTAGACGGCCTTTAGCGTCTTCATGGATGGGGTTTTACGCCAGTGTCCTCCGCGCTCCAGCATGGAAAAGTACGTTGCGCTGGCCCCGAATTGGGTGATGCCAAGCTCGTCAATCAGCTTCGGCATAGCCAACTCCTCTTTGACCGATATGTTCTGCCTAACGGGTGTGTAGTGAAACGGCGACCCGTTATACAAAACCACCGTAGCTCCAGAGGCTAGTCCTGACACCAGCCAATGCCACATCATCCACATGCACGTCGTCACGTAGCAGAGTCGATCGCCCGGCCGGATGTCACTTTGCAGAATATGTTCCTTCTTGTGCTGCAACAGCGTTCCAATAGCCCCGTGCACGATGCACTTGGGCTCGCCTGTGGTGCCTGAGCTGTAGAGAATGTACAAGGGATGCTCAGCCGGCATATGGACAAATTTCAGCCGGTGTGTCTCGGATCCTTGGGTGAGGAAGCCCTCGTATGTCCAGCATGTCATGGAGGACGCAGGCCCAGAACCCGGAAGGTTAGCCTGGATGCTCGCTGCAGTAGGCACAACTACCACAGCTTCTAGGGAGGGAAGACTGGCGACGATCTTCTGGGTCTTGGGCAGCACGGAGTATAACTTTGCATTGTAGACGACGGCATTATCAGTGAACAGGAGCCGAGGTTCGACCTGTACGAGGCGGCCCAGCGTCCCTTTGACGCCTGTATCGGGGCTGACGGCTGTCCAAATGGCTCCTAGCGAAGTCGTAGCCAGCATTGCGACGAGAGCAGTGCTGTGATTGGCGACGTATCCCGCCACTCGATCGCCGGGCTGAATCTTCAAGCTGTGCAATCCGGCCTGGCACCGGCGTACCTGCTCGCGCAGGTCTTTCCATGTGATAAATTCGCGGTCCCCGTCCCCCTCGTTGATGGACATTACCGCGACGGTTTCCTCTGACACTGTCTGTGTAGGGAACAGGAGGTTCTCTGCGAAGTTAAGCCTGGCACCGCTGAACCAGGCGGGTGGTGGCCACATTGGAGCCGCATCGTCCACGACCTGATCGTAAAATCGCGAATATCGGATCCCGCAAAAGTCCCACGCCTCGGCCCAGAACTCGCTGCGGTGCGTGATACTCCAGTGGTGGAGGTCTTGATATGTCTGGAAAGAGTAGTCATATTTGGTGTTTACTTTTTGCATGAATGCCCACATCTGGGTCTTCTCTGGAGCAGCGTGACGCCAGAGTATCTCATCGCGAGCTTGAGATTCGGGCAAACGGCCGTTGTCATCAAGAGCAGGAGCATCATTCCTTGCTCCGCCTGAACCCGGTCGATTGAATAGCTGGAAGAGCTGAATGAACTGGTTGGCAAGGGAGCCTTCGCTTACCCAGGCACTCAATCGGTGTAGATACTGGGGCGCCATGAGTTTGGAGTGCCGCCCAAATTTGTTCCTTCTCTTTCCTTCTGCTTTCCTGTTTCTTTTTTGTTACGCCGTTCTGTCTTCTACTATTTCTTTGCCACACTGGAGAATGAAGGCCTCCTATACGGGACAGTCATCAGCAGCATTTCCCCCGGCCAGTATGGAGTGTGGGAGACACCATCAGTCCTTGCTTGGCCGGGGTTTGGAAACAAAATCCGATGGAGACGAAAGAGAAGTCGAGGCAGGCGCCGCACCAGAACGTTATGTTGTAAAACCCGGGACTGACCTCACTGACCAGGGTGCCAAAGCCCGACATCCACATCCAGAGTGTGCGCTTCCACACAATTGCAAATAATGTGTACGGGCCCTTCTTCTCACTGTTCTCCATCCCGCTTTCTTGAGCTCTAGTCCTTTGAGCTGTACTCCTTTACCATCCTGATATACTGATTGTGACTCTCTAGCCCTGTTGCGAGAAGGCATGTTCACTATGCGTTCCACTGTATCCGACTTGGACGACTTCGATTCCCAACTTCCTGTCTTCGACAATGTCTCCAAATTCCTTATAACGGATGATGTCGACCAGGTTTTCTGGTGGCAGACGACGGGACGGCACTTCGCGCGCATGATGCACGAGGCTCGCTACCCAGAAGCTCGCCAGGTCGAGCTGCTGCTCTTTTACCGATTTGTGATCGCCCCACGTCTGGGACCCCGGCCGATCAGCGCCACCCCCAGATTCTACAGTCGGGTCGCCCCAGGCGTCGGGGATGGCTCTCCGATCGGCTACAGCTGGCGCTGGGGCACTGGCCCTAACTCCAAACCCCAGATCCGGCATTACATCGAGGCCATTGGCCCCCTGACGGGGACGACAGCCGACCCGCTGAACGAGTCCGCCGCCAAGGAGATGCTACACCAGTTGGGCCAGCTGGTGCCCGGGGTGGAGTTGCCCCTGGCGTGGAAGTTTGCCGCGCACATTCGACCCAGCCTGACCGACGAGTCCACGCGAGCAGTGGCAGGTTCTTCCATCCTAATCGGCCTACAATGCGCCCCGGACTCCCAAGGCATCGATGTGATGGCAGGACTGATGACCCGGTCACCGGCGCAGGTCCCGGCGCTCCTGCACACGATTTTTCCGCGGGCCATGCGGGATGCCTACGGGCCAGACGCGTCGCTAGATGGGCTGAACATGGTGCGTGAATTTCTGGAGCACGACCCGCACGGCCAGTACCTCACGATCCTGGGCACGACCGCTATCGATTGCTGCGATGCTGCTACTTCGCGGTTCAAGGTCTATGTAACCACGACAAACACTTCGTTCGCCCACTTGGCAGCGGTTATGACCCTAGGTGGCCGCAAGCCCGAGTCCCCAGAATCACTGTCCCAACTGCAAGAGTTATGGTACGCTCTCAAGGCGCTGGATCCCAAATTCCCGACGACGGCCGAAGCCCCGAGCACTGTCAATAACAGCAACGGAACGACCACTAATGGAAAACCGAACAACGCTAATGTCAGTGGCGTTACCTTCTACTTTGACATTCATCCCAAGTACAGCTTCCCCCATATCAAGCTACAAGTCGACGTCAGCAAGCATACGACCAGCGACCTAGATGCCATTCACGCCGTGACGGGGTTTCTTGCGCGCCGTGGACAGGGTGCTGATGCGCAGGCCTACATCAACGTTGTGCGCGCCATGATCTCTGATGAGGAGCTGCGTACGCGACGCGGCTTTCAGGCCTTTTTTGCCTTCGCCTTCAAGAAGGGGGAAGTAGACATCACCTCGTACTTCCTGCCTCAGATCTACCGGCGGTATGTGGAAATCGAGGACGAGCTGGCGCTGGAGGAGGGGAATTTCAAGAAGAGAACGAGTCCCAAGTCACAGCGCCGGAGCCGCTTTGAGGCTTACTAGTCAGGAGGGAAGGAATCTGAGGGTGATAGCATCGTTGAGTAAGTGCGTATTAAATTAATTATGTAATGTCTCGAGCGATCAACACATCCTAATTCTGAATCCTGAGGTTGCGTCCTGGAAACCAAAGATAATCGGGCAAACAAACAAGTAGCGTCAGTAGTATATGGCCTGGAAACCCACTGGCGGGTAAATGATGCAGTCAACCCATCGTAGTAGAACTATATACTCACTCTAAGCCAGTAATAATATTAGCACCTGCCTTACTGTATACTACAAACATTCAGTGGAAGTTCATCGAGTCTAAGTTGACTGCAGTGCTTACGTTCCAATCCAATGGAACTTGAACTGACACCGCTCTTTAATGTACGGAGGTATACCTAGTACTACTAAGTCTGTTCCTTTACTTTAGTCGTGAGCTTCAATTATATTCGATACCGCCCCTTAATCTGCGAATTTATGCCTACTACTATTTGGTGGGCATACTGTTGAGATCTCTTTCGGGGCTGGCTGTTACTCTACAATGATACTATTGTGCTACTATATATAGCATTCCGATCAAGTAGTTTTAGTATGAAGTAATCCCTACAAAAGTGTTGTTGAAAATTCGATGTCACGCTAAACTAAACTGTGTAGCCCCTTACCCGGCCGCCATTCCAGTATCAGATCCATTCCGGACTGCTTGAAGATGAACAGCTGACGAACAGTCCAAGGCTGCTCGGGTCGCGTGAATCGAGGCTGGGTATGGTCAGCCAGGCCATAGAAGATGAGGGGAAAGCGTGAGTCTCACCTGCATCAAGGCAAAAAATGTCGGAATGAACTTATAAATTTCCATCTCTGCCACGTGCTTCCCGATACACCCGCGTGGTCCATGCCCGAACGCCAGGTCGTGTGCGTTCATGGCACGCATTCGTTCCTTGTATTCGGTGTCAGTCTCGCCCGGCCGCATCAGCCAGCGTAGAGGGTTGAATTCGTCCGCATCATCACCGAATATGGCTCGATCACGCCCAATCATGTCACCGTGCATGCCGATAACAACCCCGCCGGGTAGTCGCCGGCCATCTGGAAGGGTGACGCCACCGGGGGGTGTCTCCCGCTCCATCATACCGATGAAGGCAAAGTGTTTGCGCAAAGCCTCGCGCACCAAGGCACCACAGAAGGGGAGCTGGAAACGGGCAATAGAAAATGGCACTGGCAGTGGGCCATGGTAGCCGTTCAACTCAGCTGCAATATGCTCAAGGATCCAGGGCTGTCTGAGTGCGTAGTAGATAGCCGTACGCATTACAACCGCGGTGGTATCACTGCCGGCGATGAGATTGGCCTGCATGTAGCCAATCAACTGACCGTCGGAGATGGTCGGATCTTTACGTTGTGCCTCCAGAAACCGGTGAGCGAAATCGTGCGGCTTTTGATCGTGCTGTTGCCGTGTCTCGAATTCCAGGGACTTTTCATATTCGATGCGATCTTCGAGGATACGCTTACAGCGCATAGCAAAGTGACCCGACTGTTTAGGCTTGAAAAATCTACTGACGGGGTTCAGCCGCCATATACGATCGATTATCGGCATTGCCAAAGCCTTAACACAGTTAGCGGACTTGTCACGTCGTGACCCCATGTTTAAAGTCAGATCATGGGAGGGGAGAGTGTTCATACGATTCCGCGATAGTCCAGATCCTTTTGCAATTGTTTCAACACGCCATCCACATCACCACCGGCCTTCATGAACCCCAAGTTTTGGCTCATGGTCATCTCCAAGACGACATCGAAGGCGACTGCCATACGTGAGCATGGCCTCAAACCCAAGATGGCTGTTTCATTGTAGGTTAAACTCACAGTATTGCACCCAGTTGTGGATATCACAAGAAATCTTAGGCCTAATAAACAACTCGTCTATTCTTTTGTAGAATAGTTCAATATTTTTATCCACGTACGGTTCGAACTGCCTCCAAACATTGTTGTCAGCTTTCAAATCAGTCCCACCTGTGCCCACATCATAGTGTCTCACACACCTGCAAGATGCTGGTCATGGCATATGCGCCAGCAACTGGCTTACGAATGCGCGCATGAGTCTTGTTGTCGGCGGCGGCGAACATCGTGGGCTGCTTCTTGCCTTTGTAGACAGGCGCCATGGCTTTGACCATGTCCGACTGTTGCGGATCAGTATGCGAGCTAGCGATGGTGGCTTTTGGCAGAATACCTTTTTAAATTCCGTATGAAAACCGTAGATTAGATCTACAGCTCCAGGGTCGGAGCAACTGACCATGCGTGGGCCAATTCGTATGAGGGCCGAGTTGTGGGCCGCATGTAGCCCTGGGAGATCTTCTTTGAAGCGCCATTGCCAGACCTTGTACAGACGCCACAGGTCAGTGAATTTAGCAGCAAAGGGACTGGGTATGTCCACAAGAACGGGTTGGAAGAGATTCGACAACAGGTGGAAAGCTAGGTAGGCAAGGGAAAGCGTGCAAAGGATGTAAGGAAGAGGAGGGAGCGCCTCCAGGCGCTCCTGGCAGTTCTGCAAGAGGCCGGTGATGAGCATTCTGTGCCTACAACCAAGGTGAGAATCGAGGCTTCGAAGGTAATGTGATCACAATGAGAATGTTCTTGGGAAAATGTTAGATGAGAAGACGTCTACCGTATGCTAGTTTTGTGGTTTATTGCGATCGGAGTTTGGGCTTTTGAGCGAAGTACAATCAAAGTCCGACAGCATGAATGGGTATAATCTTCGCAAGGGTTTCCCAACATATGAAATTAAGAGAATGGAATCACGAGGGTAGCTATAGACAACTTTTTCTATGTTCGATGTTTCAATATATGTGTAATCGAGTCAATGTATCCTAAGGAAGCATTCGAGCCTCTACATCCAAACTGCACCATCCCAACTTCGCAACTCAGCGATGGCAGTTACCACAGTAAACAAATTACCCCCCTCCGCTTGCAGAGTTGTAGAATCAACTATCTAACAAATCACCCTCATTTTGCTTAGGGTTCGAGGCACGAAACATGAATACTGAGCCTACAACTCGCGTTTCGACCTCCTCAAAGTTCACGCGCAGAGCATGCTCAAAGTCATATGCATTATCATCAATATTGTGAAAGATGCCGGCTTTCAGCACGCCGCGGCGCACATGGGCAGCGAAGCAATTGTCGTTGCGCACACCCTTGCCCAAAACGCTGGCACCGTGTATGACGCCGTCGCGGGTCATGTTGCGCTTAATGTGCTTGAAGACAGCGCACTTCTCGGCCACAGTGGCCGGAATGCAGTGCAGCAGATAGTACATGGAAACCGAGTCGAACTTGTCGGTCACCGGCAGGGGTTGTAGGATATCAGCTTGTAGGCCGCGCGCGTCCGGGCGGCCACAGCGCTGCAAGCCCAGATCCAGCGCAGGCCGTTCCAAGTCCAGAAGTGTCAGGAGCGTCGAGGCGGGAATTTCACTTCGGCGAAGGTAATATCCTGTCCCACTGCCGATGTCGAGATGGTTTTTGCCTATATTGGCTCGGAATTGTGGAAGCAGGTATTCGGAGGTACTGCAGCCCCAGGCCCAGGTCGAGACGATGCCCAGGACCCAGATCTCGTAAACCAGTAGATCCCATGGCTTATATATGACTTCCTCTTTGGGAACCGAAGGAGGCTTCTGAAAGTCATCGGTCACGGTAGTGGATGTAGTAATGCTGCCGGATGTCATGCTGGCGATGTGTATCCTCAATGTGGTACGATGACAAACAATATCGGCCAGAAGTGGAGGAGGCCCTTATTTTCATCGTACCATAAAAAGGCAAATCGGACTTTGCCTTTATCAATCTGGCAGTTTATGCTAAGGTAGTGAGAAGTGGCAGTATAAAATCCGAGTCTAAAGCCCGGCGTAACTCAACCCGACCAACACCACAGTGGCAGGTAACACAATCTACGCCAGCCTGCACAGTACTCATCTTCCGTAAAGCTTTTTACTCCCCCTTTACTACACTCACATTATCGAGTCACAGGCAATGTCTACACGAATTCCCTTTGACGAGAGCTACTGGGAAGAATACCTGTCGGGGCAAGAGGCGTCCCTCCCAGCTCTCCCAGCACTCACTCAACTCACACCCAGGGTGACTCGGCTCCTGGCCGGCAACCCAGGGGTCATGCAATTGCAAGGCACGAACACATACCTGGTCGGCACGGGTGCCTCGCGGATTCTGATCGACACTGGGGAAGGCCGGCCGATCTGGCACACCATGCTGGTAGAGTATCTTCGAGAACACTGCCTAACACTGGAGTATGTGTTGGTAACGCACTGGCACGGTGATCATGTGGGCGGAATTGCCGATCTGATCAAACACAGTCCGACACTACAGTCACGCATCTACAAGTATCGACCAGACCGAGGCCAGCTGCCCATCGCAGACGGGCAGCAGTTCAAGGTAGCAGGTGCGACGGTACGCGCAGTATTTACACCCGGCCACGCGATAGACCACATGTGCTTCCTTATCGAAGAGGAGAACGCGCTTTTGACTGGGGACAATGTGCTAGGCCATGGTTTCGCTGTCGTGCAGGATCTGACGGAGTACATGGGAAGTCTCGTGCGCATGGCAGCGCTAGGCTGCGCAAGGGGTTACCCAGCCCACGGAGCGGTCATCGACGATCTACCCGCCAAAATGCAACTGTATATCCATCACAATGAGGCGCGCGTGCAGCAGGTGACCGCCGTGCTAGCGGAGACTATGAGGCAGCCCGGAAGACGGGGTGGCATGACGGTCCCCGAGATAGGACGGGCTATATATGGTGAGGTGCCTAGGGAAATCATCGAGAATGCAATCGTGCCGTTCCTGTCGCAGGTCCTATGGAAACTGGCGGATGACCGCAAAGTCGGTTTTGAGCCAGGCGAGACGACCGAACGGCGATGGTTTGGGTTGGTAGCACGATAATCGTGACTGATCGGTGTAATTAATGACCATCCATACATACACATCATTGATACATCGTATATATTCCTCCTAAGGAAGGGCAAAGGCGACGGTGAGTGCAGAGAATTGTGGGATTAATGAACATGACGCCCAATACGAAATCGGACTTTTGCTACCTCTAGCCTCTAGAACTCACTATGTCATCCTAATCTGCTGCCTGAGCGCCCGCCTTGGCCCGCCGCTTTTCCGCAATCTCCCGCCACTCTGCTATGGGTCGGTGCAGCACGTAAAATCTTGATCGTGACCGGCGTACGGCTTCCTGGATTCGTCGAGCAGCTCCTCGGTAATACACAGCCACTGCGCGATCCACAGCAGCCTCTTTGATCATCGCTGCCGCCAGTTCAGTACTGTCCACCAGTGCGTGGTTGCCGCCCTCCCCACCGAAGATCGGCATCGCATGCCACGAGTCCCCGACGAACACCACGCCTGTCTGCGCAGCTTGCAAGGCATCCGCCGTTGGCATGCACACGCATCGACTGATCCAGTGGAACACTGAGTGCTGTCGGATGGTCTCCGAGTTGATGTACCGTGCCCACGGCTCCGCGAGCTGCCGCGACGGCAGTTCATCCAGGAGCGCCTGGGGTGGCTCTCGCGTCTGGACTTCTGGCTTCTTATCATTAAACAATGGGTCATTTTCGCCGGACGCTGGTCGGGAATATGACCAATCAAGGTGCACCCGCGTCTTCGTTATGTTGCAGACTGTGATCGGCGTATAAAACCCGTCACCCACACCCGCAAGAATGTTAGCATTGCCGATGACAGGACGCAGGTAGCGGTCGTACTCGTCGCGCGACACCTCAAACTCGCCATGATATATCACTACTGGCACCACTTCTGGAACGATATGTGGCAGGACCTGCGAACGCACTGCGTTGGGCAGAGGGTCAGTAAACACGTGTCCGCCAATATGCAATAGAATATGTGGACAGTTCCAGTCTTGCGTACCCGTCGAATGCACACCATCAGCAGCAACCACCGCCGAGCCGTCATATACAGCTCCATTCTCGAAGACTGCCTGAACGTTGCCCATTGACCCAGATATAATCTTGAGCTTATGTCCATAACGCACATCCAGCTGGTCATCCCCGCAGTCGGCAATCCAGGCCCGCAGTGCATTGCGATTCGCTCGCACAACCGCTGGCCGGGCATTAGCGTCCGGTTCGACGAGTATCTGGCCTGTCATGTTATCGCGCATTGCAAGGTCAACCCAGCCGGTGCCACCGATAAAGCGGTCTGGTGCAACAGCCTTGGTCATACTTTGGGGGGACAGCCCGCCGAGGGCCTCGAGCAATGGTGAGTAGCCCCAGTCATGCATGGAAATGGCAAACCCCTGACTGCGTTCCGGCGAAGATGCCTCGAAGACGATGTTTGAAATATTATTATTTGTCAAGATTCGCCCAAGGGCAAGGCCCGACAGACCCGCACCGATGATGAGGACAGGGCGTGAATTGTCCATCCTGTGCATAGCGTCGGGCGGGGAAGTTAGCGGCATTGTGATATGCTGGATGATAAAAGGGCTCGAAAAAACATGGGTATATCTTTCTCATAATCTTCAGACGCGTAATATTAAAGCTTGCGCTCGCTGTTCTCGCGTGCTGCCCAAATTCCGCTGAGCCGTCCAGATTCCCTCCAAAATCCGAGCGCTGCCCGCTGAGAACAAAATCCGTGAAGGACTCGCTCTCAGCCCAGATTGACTTCTCCGTACATCTGGTCCCAAAGTAGCCAATCGGAAGAAGAGTTGAGATTGAAAGCATTGTTCACGGTTGGGTCGGCCGTGCTCATATCGTCGAAAAGCTCATCGAAGGAAAAGGCCCCATCTGTAGCTTGGTCTGCAGCAAATACGCTGTCATCTCGCCGATCGGTATCTTTGGGTTTGTGTTGAGCGCGCAGCGTAGCAATGAAACCCGGCTCGGGAGATGAATTACGCGGCGGATTCAGTAGCCAGGCCTTCAAAGCGGCCTTGCCAATCGTAGCATACAAGGTCCTTCGGCCCTGACTCAGTGCTTCGTGATTCTCGTAGACCTCTGAAACCCTTTTCCAGGCAGCATCGAGCTCTGATGGTGAATAAAACCCAACCTTTGCAATGCTTCTCAGAATGCAAAGGAGGGAATCCCACACAAAAAACGCTTGCAGTTGCCAGCGAAACTTCTGGGTTGCGGGATTACTATACATGGCATTTCTGGTGTCGAGGACCTTTTCAGCAAGGCTGCAGAGTTGTCTCTGCTGTGTGTCGGTTATGGTTTCTTGCTTGAGCAGCGGCATCCGCGCGCGTAACCGGACAGCACTGATGGCGGATCGCATAACGCCGCTAGTCAGAAAGTGCAAAGGGCTCAAGATGTCGCAGTACCGTAAGAACTTCTTTTCGATGAGGTCTTCCACCTCATCGATCAGTCGCTCGATCTCCTCTGGGGTGCGGAACTCGATTGTCCCCCGCCTCCCTTCTGCTGGACCCCGGTTCGAGTGTAGAAATTTGACAGCTCCATCCGGGCCAAGCAAAAGATCATCTCCGATGCCCCCCGTTGGTCATGAGGCGGCTGGGTCATGCCGGGGAAGATCTGATCATCGTTAATGTTTAGCGGTAGCTTAGTATCCCAGCTGCCGGGTGAGATGGATATACCCGTGCCGGAGGTTTGACCTGCATAACTGTCCAGAGGTAGCAGTTGCCAGAAGAGCCGCCGGCGTATCTGGACCTCAAATGGGGGTAAACCGATGCTCTCGCCGTCTCGGTGCAGTCCTGTGCGTTGGGCCAGGCGAATTCCAATACCAGTCAGAATCCAGAAGGTATGAGAATCGATTTGAGTGCGCAAGGAGATAAGGAAAAGAGTGTAGGCCTGTAAAACCGGTAACGAGGTCGTCTTGAGCCAAGACGCATTTACCAATGCCTGAGTGACTGCCGTTCGATATTTGCGCATCAAGTGGGCTCTGGAAATATGGAGTTCATGTGAACACTCGTCGTCGGACATTGAGAATACGGCGAAATGATAGATGGCAAACAGCAAGCATTCATCGTTCTTGGAGGCAGTCGCTGGGTGCTTGGAGACGGTTTCAACTACCTTGGCGACTGTCGGAACATGAAGAATCTTGCAAAGAGGCTCGACGTTCTCCACGTAGGCATACCAAAGCTTGGTCGCATGCTCGTAGCTAGGGTGAAGGTGGGTGAGGCTTATCGTGCTTCTCATACTTGCGTCCGAGATGGATTGCGCCGCGAGGGCACCAAGAAGACCAGTTGGAGTGGCTTTGTCGGGACCAAGCTCATCTTCAATATGAGTTTGTTGCTCGGACTCGGACAACTCACCTAGGTCACCTTCGCCAGCGTCGAGGAGCAGAACATCGTCAATGTAGCGAGAATTGCCATAGTTGGGAAGCAGTTTATCCGCTGCAGCGTCAGCCTGCGAGTTCGCTGTCCCCGGAGTCGGTGCCTGTATACTATTTGCTGAGGCCTCCAGGTCCCTTCCGCTAGTAATCGAGGGATTGGCTATTGGAAGAAGATTGTGGTCGTGCAAGATGCGCTCGTAACGTGCCAGACGTTCATGTATATCTTCCTCGCCCCGGCTACGGTTCCTCTTGCGCCGTGGCGGTGGTTGCTGATAGACACACTCGAGCCTGGCCTTGATGCAGTTGGCACACTTGGGCACCGCGCGGTTGCATTTGATCTTCTTGCGCACACAGGCTTGACAGTTGAAGCGGATCGGGGTTGACGAGGCCCATTCGCAGGAGCCATTGTGCGCGTCAAGAGGGAGGGGCTTTGCCGGGGCAGAAGCAAGTGGGACAAGATTTCTTGTCTCTTCCATTTTGTGGTACCCTATATGTCCACTCTTCTGTGTGGCTATAACTAACTGCCGTATTCATTCGTAGTCGGTGTGTGGTGGCATGACTTGGGGAGGGACCCCCGGTCATTTCTTCGCGCTAACTTGTATTCCACCCACGACACTAGCTCGCCAGTCATTAAGACTAAATCTTGGCCAGTTCAGGAGGTAGTTGAATGTTCATATACTAGATCCTGTTGTTACATCTCTCTGTTCACCCTCATATATATTATAGCAAGTACAGATCAGTAGATATAAATGATATATATAGAAGCACTAGACCTGATCTATGAATAGAATTGAAGAACAATAGATTCTCAAACCTACATAAAAGCATATTCAATCACAACAAGGATGTAGACGCTGCATATCACATCTTCGATTTTCATTATTACATGATTTCATTCTGATTGCTATCAATTTACATACAGCCTTTTCGGAGAAGTGAAAAGAAGTAGTATATAGGTCAGAAACATTGTACATAAAAAGTAATGTGTCGTTCATTTCCATTTCCATATGAGAAAAGAAATCCCACTCCTCTCATTCAGGCATACCTTAGATAAAAAAAAAATTTGAGACATCGTTGTCATCCTCTGTTCACTTCCACTGTCCAGATTTTCCAGTTCGTTTACTGGGATCGATGTTTTAGAAATGTGCAACAGCCTTCTCAGTGGACCCTAAATCAGTGCTAGAGGCTGTCGGCTATGTCAAGACGCCTATTCGACCGGCATATTGCCGTAAGGGTACATTTAAGCCTTGTTAGGAACGTGAGCCTTGGGGACAGCACCGGTGCCGGCACGGGTGATGGCGGCCTCACGGGCACCGCTGAGACCATACTGGCTGGGGATACCCTCCACACGGTGGGTGGAGTTGATGTTCTTAACGAGGGTAAGTTGCCAGCAGGTAGCACCACCCTGGCGGGAGGTGATGGTGGAGTAAGCCAAGAAGTATTCCCAGATCTGGAAGTAGTCATACGTTAGTATCGTCCTGTCGTATACACTGAACGGGGATTGGAGAACTCACTCTGAACCATCTCTTGCCGTACTTGGCCTCAACCTTGTCACGGTTGCCCATCCAGTTCCGGTACCAGCGCCACAAGGTAGCAGAGTAGTGCACACCAATAGTGTCAATGGCCTTGATTTCGAATCCAGCAGCCTCCAGTCTGTCAACGACGAAGCCAAGGGGAGTGCTAGCGTCAGCGCCAGGGAAGATGTATTTGTTCATGAAAAGACCCCAGATGAGATCCTCGTACTGCCAAGACTTGCGCAGACCGGCGATCTGCAGGAAGAAGACACCATCGTCGTCCAGCATGTCGTAGACCTGAGAGAGGAAGGACGTGAAGTGACGGACACCGACGTGCTCGGCCATCTCAAGGCAAGTGATCTTCTTGTAACCGCCATCAACCCGAGGAGCGTCACGGTAATCAAGGCACAGGATACGACTCTGGGACTCATCAACACCAGCATTGCGGAGACCCTTGTTACCCCAAGCAGTCTGGTTGCGACCCAAGGTGATACCAGTGACCTGAGCGCCATAGTGAACCGAAGCATACTTGGCCAGAGTACCCCAGCCACAACCGAGATCAAGGACAGTGTCACCGGGCTTAACGCCAATCTTTTCGCAAACCACAGCCAGCTTGTTGTCCTGCAGTTCCTCCAGAGTCTCTTCCTTGTTGGGGTCGCTGATGATACCGGAAGTGTAGATCATACGGGGGCCCAAGAACCAAGCGTAGAAGTCGTCACCGCGGTCGTAGTGGTCACGAACCTGCTCCTCATCTAACCAAAGTAGCTCAAAGTCAGCGCGAAACCCCCACCACCGTGCCAAATGCCATAAAAGTAGACACGTACCTTGGGAGCGGGTGTGCATCAGCATCTCAGGGATGAAACCGAAGAGGAAGTGCTTGTAGAGACCCATGGTGAAGCGGAAGTTGGCCCAGTCGTGTCTGAACTCCAGAGCCTCCAGGGCATCACACTTGAAGTCCACCTCGCCATTGAAGTACTTCTCGTAGAAGACCTCCATGGGAATCTTGCTCTTGCCACGGTAGGCAGTACGATCATGCTCGCTGTGGAAGTTCAGGTAGTACTCGACGGGCCGACCAGCATACTTGGCCTTTTCGTTCTTGCGGGGAGAGATGGAAGAGGCGATGGACCAGAATGCCATCAGAATGGGGACGGTGGTGAAGATGGCGAAGAAGATGGTGGTGTAGAAACCACCACCGATCTGGCGGGCGAGATACCATGGGACAAGGATGAGGAGAGCGAAGAGGAGGGTGTTGGAGAAGCTATCGCTACCCTGAGAATCCGCGGGGACGGGGGCATTTTTGATGGCCGGATACTAGCAAAAACAGGAGAAGATTAGCTTACTGACATTGTGAACTGAATTGACCATTCCTGGTTCAGAAAAGTATGTGTCAAGAACCCTGGAGGAGCTCTTCAGGAGCTGTTCATGTGCTACAACTAACTCACCGAGGTAGTCCGCACACCGCAATCGTCGGCGGGAGTAGTGCAGGAGGCGGGTGGAGTTTCGATGAACTCGAAGTCCTCTGGGGACTCGGGATGAATATTCGTCATGGCGGAGGAGACGAATTGTCGAGAGGGAGAGGGGGAGGGGGAGGGAGAGGGAGGAGGAGAGGTGGGAGGAGAAAGAGAAGGGAAGAGGAGAGGGAATTGGAGAAAAGAGGGAAGAACAGGATTGCTTGTGAGGCGGGAGCGAGTGGATTATTGCTTGAGCAACTGATCAACCGCCAGGGTTCGGAAGACTGCGCCTAAGCAAGAACATGAGAACTTCCTCCTCTCTCGTCTGTGATTGGTCTAACTAATTTTATCGTGTGATGCTACAGGGGTTTCAACAGGCATTCGTTATATTTATCTGCGTGATAACATGATGAAAAAGTAACTGAAGCCTGAACTACCACTACATGAACACTTCCTGCAGCAGCTGCAGCTTTTGCTGTAAGGCTGGGAGAAGAAGTGTTGATTGCTTGGACAGGTTTCCAAGGATTCTAGACGAAGTGGTCCAGTCCAACTGGGTCTCGCCCGGGAGGACAAGCGGTGAGCGTTGCATAGATTATCTACCCTAATTAGTATCGATTAGTAGTAGTTATATTGGCGCTCTCTCTTCTCTCTTTTTCTTGCGTAAAGTGCCAAACGTACTCAAAACCGAAGGTCCTTTATTTGGCTGATGGCTGATTGCAAAACGACCTAGAACAGGTACAACTTTCTCACGTTCCGCGGTCGGGGACCAGGACACCTCCTAGCCAGTTACTATCTTTATAACCGATCTCAACTTCCCCATCCAAGGTTGGCATTTGGTCTTTTCCTCGGGTCTGAAACCCAAACTGCGGTGCGTGGCCCCTTTTGCTTGGTCCAGTGGGCTTAGTCATGGGCGTTGCAAGTGAAGTTGCCCCTTAAACCAGCTTAAGCAATTGAGCCATCAAACGGTTAGCTTGGGAGCGAACCACTGTTTGAGGGCCGGCAACACCCACTACAGGAGGGTCCATTACGAATATTCTGGCTATTAACAATACAGCCCAATTTCATGCTCAAATAGGGACAAGCCCCACGCCGGGGTCTTCCGTGCAACTCGTCAAGTCATAACAGGATAACACGGTAACCCCATCGTAAATAGATACATCATAACTTTCTATAACGCCCCCCCCCCCTTTCAAGTCCCGTGCTCCATCTCGCTGCCTCCGTGAGGTTTCTTTTTCCATGGCTGTTCTTGCCAGTCAGGAAAAGAGATTACTTACACGGTGGCGAGTGCAACGAAACATGGAAGACACATAAAAGTAGACCGGGAAACCAAAGAACACCACTCAACTACCAATAACATGAACCCATAAAATCCCACATGATACGCCGGAAGTAGACCTCTGTATTCGCCTTGGTTCTTCACACATCTCACGTCACAGCGTTAATTGAAAGTTCTGAGCTTCTTCATCTTCATCAAATGTCGGAAGCCCCTCCGCACTCTCCAAGTCTAGCCCAATCGTGTCGGCGATCAATGGTGGAGTCCCGCAGGGCTGCAGATAGGTATCGGGAGAAAGGATTCCTTGGGGGACTGTCTCCAGCTCTGTTGGACTAGCCGTCCTACCATGTAACTTGGTCGACACTTCCCGGCCCCTACTATATCCCACCGTCGTTTGGGAAGTCGCAGCAGCGGCCGTTTGACGCATACTCGACGGGTTGGTCGGCTCTCTTGGTTTCTTAGACGGGAACAAGGCAGAAGTAACCCTAGGCTTGGCCGAAACAGCCGGTCTGGTGCGTGGAACAGAACGCTGTGTCCCGGACAAGGCAGCAGCAGCATCACGAGCTCGGATGGTGGAGATATTGCTGGTATGTTTCGTCTTGTTATTGGCCGCTCTCGTTCGTGAACGCGTTTGAATTCGGCGTTGCGTAGCGTCTGCTGCAGGCGGCTCCTCGATTGGAACGGTCTCGTATGTTTCCTCGAAGCCAATGCTCTCGACTTGCTTTCGAATCATTTCCTCAACCATTCTGTCGCAAGCAGCTGAATCTTCTTGGAATTTGCGCTCGCGCTTAGTGAGCCCATCGGGGCCAACCTCATTATCACCATACACACTTTCCAGTCCTAGGGCGAGATTTTTCGGCTGAAATTGCGGAAAGGTGGTATCATAAGTGACATCGTCCGGGATATCAGGAAGATCTGCGATAAATCAGACACAACGAACCCCTTGATACATGCGAAAACCCCGCGAAAGGACTACTGACCTTTGGGCTTAGGGGGCATATATTCAATGTCAGGGACATCATCTTCTACCGGTTTCGCCGGAACCTCTGGCTGACTTGGCTCAACAAAGGGGGCAAATTTCTTCGCTCTCTGCGTAGAACCTCTTTTGATGGTTCTGTCAGGCTTCACCGTCCCTCCAGGAGGAGCAGGCGTCTGCAATCCCCTGGCTTTGGCATTTGTCGTCTTCATGCCAAGAGGGGCACGCTGACGAGGATCTGCTGCAAAGTGTGTTAGACTCATGAATAGCGAATAGCAAGGATCAAGACATGCGACTTGAACATGGTCGTAGATTCCCATTACGTACCCGCCGGAGTGATGAAGGCATTTTTCGTGGTCAAGTTGATATTCTCCTTCTGTTTACCCCCCTTCACGGTTTTCTTCCCAAAAGCTAGCGGATCGTTTTCATCATTTTTCAAAGGGACTTTAAATGGGGTTTTGGGTACTCGAGCGCCGGGAGTCTTGGGTTGCAAATGTCTCACGCCTTGATTGAGTGGTTTCGACGCGGCAACGGTCTGGTGTGAGTGGACCAGGTTTTCTTGGTCGCGTACAGCCAACATGGTGGCAGTTATGTATTCACACGGCTCATTCAACGAGCGAAGATCGATTGGCGTAGGTTATACTGGAGGTCGGAGCTAAAGGTGCTGGAAGCGGCGCGTCAGCACTGAAGGAAGGAGAGCGGAGCTTGTCGACATGGTTCTAGATGCAGCGTCACGCAACCGAGATGTTTTCGTGGCGGTTGCCCGTGGAGACAATACAACTGACTGTATTCCGTAACACCGGGACGGTAAAGTACCAGCCACAGCAATTGTGGCACTGCCCATCCAGGGGGGGCGATGGCATCTCCTACCATACCAAAAATGGATCGGGCCCAACCACTAGTCGCGGCTGACCGCCAGGCCAGGCAAGAAAGTCAACCTTACCTGAAAGGCCCTCCTCCACTTCTCTTCCTTTCTCCCTAAACCCAAAACCCATTTGTCCTTTTGACTACTTGCTTCCCTACTGCATCTCTGTCTGGTTTATCGCTGAGCGAAAGCCGTCCCGCATCCCCAACTCATCGAAACATCTACTTTCTACCATACATATTCCCCGTTCCTTCACTGCAAATAACTGCCCAACATGGATAAGATCAAGGAGGTGAGATTCCTTTCCCTTCCCCTCCCCCTGTTGGCGGGGTAGCTTCTAAGCTGCCTGGAACTGCAACATGCACCACCACATGCGTCCTTATTTCTCCCACCGCATCACTCATTATGATCCATCTATCTTCATTACCACAAACAGAAATGTGTAAATAAACTGGAAATATCCGAAAACTGACCACCATGATTCTAGAGAATGAACAACCTCCGCCTCGAGGCCGAGGAGGCCCAGGAGAAGGTTGAGGAGCTTAAGGGCAAGGTCAAGACGCTGGAGCAGGAGAACCTCGCCAAGGAGCAGGAGATCACATCCCTCAACCACCGGAACCAACTTCTGGAGGGTGAGGTCGAGAAGCTCGAGACCGCTCTTAAGGAGGCCAAGGATTCTGCCAACCAGAGTGCTCAGCACGATACTCAGAACGAGGCTCTCCAGCGCCGTCTGCAACTTCTGGAAGAAGAGGCCGAGGACGCTGACCGGAACCTCCGGGAGACCAACGAGAAGTACGTTTATTTCCCATTTCCGCCCCCTCCCCGCACCTCGTCTCTTACGTGTCCGCAACGGAGCAACACATATACTGACTATGCTCGCGCTCTAGGCTCCGCCAAACCGACGTCAAGGCTGGCCACTACGAACGCAAGGTGCAGGCTCTCGAAGCGTCCCGTGACCAGTGGGAGAGCAAGTACGAGGAGATGGCGAAGAAATACGCCGAGTTGCAGAAGGATCTGCACGACCTCGAGGTCTCCATCAGCAATGTTTAAAAAGGAGATGGCGCCGAGGCCCGGAAGATGCTGGATTTCAGCCTTTTCCCCAAATATACTTTTATCTTTGCTTTCTTTTCCTGCACATCACAGTCTGATCTATATGTCCTGTCTGCAGGGAGACGGATTTTAGCTGTATCTTTTTCGTCGTGTCATCTAGCTGGCTTCATCCGCATCATCAACCGGTCTCTCCGCTCGTCCCCGTGACCTTGTTTAACCCTTTATTGTTTACCATATTAGTCATTGTGAAGGTACATAGAGCATATTTAATTGGGAGCGCCCCTCTTCTGGCTTCTGTATTCTCATCCGTATGCTGGTTCATAAATGTGCTGTGCTGTGTTGTATAGGACTGGATATTATGAGCGGTCTCGTCGAGCCTGGGCTTTCCTCGACTTCGCCGCGCGCTCCTTCACCCTCGTAAGCTTGCGTTCCTCTTTAGACTCGTAGCGGAACTTCTTCTTCTTCTTTTTCGGCTTGTTATCGGTCTTCTTTTTCGTCTTCTCGCCGGCCGCGGTTGATTTGGTATCCGGTGCAGGTTTCGTCTCCGTCTGCTCCTCCTCATCGTCTGTCTCATTGCCTGCCGATCGCAGTAGGCCTTCTCTGGAAGGATCCATTTCTTCCACTGTGACCGTCGTGTACTTGTCTTCGTCTATGTATTCGGCCTCATAATCCACGGCAGGGGGTTCTTCGAACCCTTCCCATTCCTGGTCGTCTTCATCACCACTTCCCGAACTCGAGTTGTCCTCATCACTGTCCTCTTCCTTCAATCTTTTGAGTTGTTTTTTATGTTCCTCGATAGCGCGCTGGAATTCTGCGGTTCGCTCTTCGCGAATCTAGGTTGAAAGCAGGATTAGTTCCGGTGCAATTAAGCAAACTGATCACCGGCGAATAGACATACCCTTTTGCGCTCCTCGCGCTTCAATTCACGGGCTTTTTGCTCGGCCACCTCTTGTGCATGTTTAATGCGTTGTTGTTTGCGCTTGCGAAAGCCTGTGAGAAACTGCTGGCGATCGGCAGCGTCGAAGGTAACTTCTTCGACTTTGCTGGCCACCTTTCTCCTTTTCGCTGCTGGCCCCATGTTTGTATATATGAGACAATTCGAATGAATCGTCTAAAATTATGGAAGAAGCGCTGTTGTTCTCTGAGGCGGGGATTTTTAGTTCAGGGAAAAATTTCCAAAACGGCCGCATTGCCAGAACGTCACGGCCGGGGACAAGTCGAGCTAAGCCGTGCCGGTGGTTGGCTCGACCGCCTCCGAGCCGTCGTCGGCCAATCTACCAGCCTGGCTCCAACATCATCATTCATTCCTCCCGGAGGTTCTCTAGATAGCCGTCCGCTCGTCTGATAGCTACCCCCCCTATTTCACCACCATGCGTTTGGGAACCTTTTCGCTGCTCGCTCTGGGAGCGACGACGGCGAACGCAATCCGCGACACCTCTCCCTTTTTCCTAGCATCGACCTTCCAGTATGCGTGACACTTGCTCGATTGCGGGACTCCCATAGAATGTCCCAGCTAACTAGCTTCTACAGGATCCCTTCTACGTCGGCACAGCTGCGAACTGCTCCCGCTATCTTAGAAGATCTGTCCACGGGGCTGAGTGGCTGCCCTTCCGACTACTATGTTATTGCTTCTCAGCCTGGTGTGCACAGCACCGACTTCGCTACTCGCCAGTCCGCACCGCGTCTCGGTGGGAAGATGACGGGGAAGGACAAGAACATCCGGACAAAGACGATTGTGAATGAAGTTGTGGGCGAGATAGAGGCGAAGGATGTCCAGAAGCTGCTCGAGAAGGAGTGCGGGGCTGAATCAACCGTGATCGACGCTTCCTGTAGGTGCTCACTTATGGCTGAGTGGTCGATGGATGAAGGACATGACTGACAGCCAATGATTAGCTGATTCTCACTCTGCCGACTTTGATGCGGAGTCCCGCATCATTGTTGTTGACTTGCCTGTCCTGCCTGCGGGACATGAGCGGAAGAAGCAGCTTTCGAACAACGGTTGGTGGCCCAAACCTCTATACTACTCCCGGAGAGATGCTTATTGTTTTTGCAGATGGCTTGCTCTTCAGTGTCATTGACCGGCTCCCGGAGTCCAAGGGCTACACGATCCTTTATGTCACTTCCCCGAGGGAACTTGAAGACACCGGTTCCGATTTCTACCAAGCGGAACAGGATCCCCTTCACATGGACCTCAAGCGCGACTACTCTGCTCATGACAGTCAATCTTCGTCCAACAAGACTCTATTCCAGGAATACCAGTTCTTTACACCCGGTATGTAGACCAAAACCAAGCCACTGCAAGACATAATCTGACTGTTTACAGGCATTTGGATGGGAATTCTCGCGACCCTGGTGTTTCTGCTGATCTTCTATGTCGGATTGGCTGCTCTTTTGAGCTTGGAGGTTCCCTATGCAGCATTCGAGAAGGACACATCGGCCGCTTTGCAGAAGAAGCAGCAGTGATTAGCGGTTGTTCTTCCAGATTCGTGTCATTAGTCTTGCTTCTTCTTTGCATAACTTGCTATATTATGAATAGGCTGTATATCAGCGAAGCGGCGTTTGCTTATTTGTGGAATCTATCATATTGTACGAGTGAAAGTGGCACCCCCCTAGGTATCGTTTGGGAGTCGAGGTAGATATCTAACCATCGAACATGATTGATGACGAATCCTAGATTGTCTCACATTAGAGTTAATAATTAAGGGAATGGCCCAATAGCCTGAACTTACCTCGCCGCTAAGAATAACTTGGGTATCACGTGGGCCATAGTGTGGAAGCCTCAGGCCGGCCGAGGATGGCACGGGGCAACCACCGCTTGGCTGTCAAAGACCTCGTCTTTGCTCGTCTCTCTTTATGCCCATCGCTCGCTTTGGGGGGTCCTCAAGATACAGATTAACCGCACAGCGGCTGTCGCTGTAGTCCCTCGTTTGGCTGTCTGCCCTACCTTGGTGATCATCGTCTTACCCTTGCATCCATCGCTTGTTGACCCTCTTGTTTTGGGTGGAGACCGATATTAAGTCCCGCCCGCCTGCCTGGAGACACCCGCTATCCATGCAATCAATCTACGACCAGAGACATCCGGTTCACTTCTTGTTTTGCTGACGATTTCGGATTCCTCTTGACTATGAACCTGTGTCTCTTGCATTAACTCTAATCGCACCGGTCATTGCTGGTTCTACGAACTCTCGTTATCACTCGATCTGATACATACCCAGGAGTCTATATCAACCATGGTAGCCCTGTCGGTGGGCCTCTCAAGGGCCCGCCAGCCTTCATTCATACTCCTTCTATTGTTTATCATTGTCTTTGTCGCGCAAGTTTCAGTCGCTCAGGATTCCACTACCGACGACTCTACAACCACTGCCGCCACAACGGCGGACACATCTTCATCTACGGACTCTGCGACAACCTCGTCAGATGACAGTACCACCACCTCAGCTGCAACCACGACAGACTCATCGTCTAGCTCAACGACAGATGCTTCGTCCACGTCAACTGACTCAAGCTCTTCTTCTTCCTCTTCCTCAACCAGTGGCTACCCCATCGTCACTGTTCCCCCAACAGCCGATGCACCGTACATGCAGAAGTCGAAGATCCCCGAGGGGACTCTATTCATCGTTGTCGGGGCTGTCCTTGGTGCCATTGGATTTGCTATTCTGGCATGGCGCGCCCTCGTAGCCTGGTCAGTCAACCGTTCGGTTCGTCAAGCCGCCATGGTTCGATCATCCGAAACCAAAGGACTGCTTCGCACCAAGAAGCGAAGGTCTCGCTCCAGAAGATCAAGTTCCGGACCAGGTGTCACCCTCGAGAAGCTGGGTGGTGGAGGGCATCATCACCACCGTCACAGCCACCGACATCATAGGTCACCTTCCACAAAGACCCCCAGCTCCAACAGCGCGCTTTTCTTTTCGCCCACCGCCGGAATGCATCGCAGCAGCAGCAGTAACAGGCGGTCTGCCTATCTCCCTGCAGGCTACTACAACACCGGCAGTGCAGCGCCTCCTCGGACTCACGAAGCACGCTTCTCGGCAGCTGATCTACCGGGCATGGGACCACAGTCGCAGGGTTATATGAGGGCCAAAACAGCCCCTAGCCCTCCTGAATCACCAGGCCTACCCCCAGCAGCCAACGAACAGGACACGACGCCCCGTCGTAGTGCCAGACGGTCCCGCGCAGAAGACCCTTCTACCAGCAGCGTGAATCTTTCCTCTCCTCCCCAGGGTCGCACACCAAGCGCATATCTGGAAGATTTGTTCGATAACCACAGTACGCCTCAGAACAGACATTGATATGACCTATCTATACTGTTGTACGAGCGACGATTTTTCATTTTTCTCAATTTTTTTATTTCCATTATCTCCTTTGCCGTGGTGTATATTTCGCATTATTTTCCGTTATACAGACCTCTTATCTTTAACTTCTTTTCCTGCTTATATGTTTATTACTGTATTGTATATTTTATCTATCATTCTTAGTATCATGTCAGCTAAGCCCATTTGACGATCAACGAGAATTTATCTATTCGCTTTTTCTATCATCATTTAGCATTCATTATTCCTCCCTTCAATTTGGCGTCCATGCTATCTATCACTGTAACTACCTCCATTACTGAAACAAAAGCAAACATCTTATCAATAATCACCATTAATATTACCAATTAAGTAAGTGCACTGTCCACGACAGCCCCGATTATCATGACTAGCACCCAGCACTATGACCAACCCGCAGTCTTTCCTTAACCCCCAAATAGTACCAAAATGAGTGGTACTAGGTACCCCAGTAAATGATAAACGAGAAAAGCTATTACAACGAAAGGAATGAGAAGTAAACTCGAAGAGAATGGTAAAAGGTAGGAGAGATAAAGAAAAAAAGAAAATAAGAAATAAAACAGACTGAGGATTTATACTATACGTTTTAGCGTATACGAAACAACACAAGAACTGCTCCGCAACACTCCCTTTCCCTTTGTTTCCTGCCCAATATAATATGATACAGACGCCTCTCCGCCTCCCAGTAAAGAAAGAAAATGAAAAGAAGTGAAAGTAAATATAGGTGTGTGTGTGTGTGTGTGTATAGAACAGACAAGTGTATAGTAAAAGGAACGGAACCAAGCCAATCCAGATCAAATCAAGTTTGAAGAAGTGAACGGGCCGGATGGGCTCTAGACGCACCAATCCAAGCCAAGAAGAGAGGAAAGGCAGGAGAAAGAGGCAGAAGGAAGAAAAATGTTCTTACATACGTAAACACAATAACGATGAATGCTGGCTACAATGTTGGATACACAAAAATCATGTCAGTTTATAGAGGAATGGGCGAGAAGCTTTGTCTAAAAAGATGCGGCATGGCTGGATAAGTTCAGTCTGCGTCCAATTTGCCGCCGAACTCGCCAAGGAGAATATCGTCGGGGGCAGGACCGCGGCTGTTTCGGACTGTTGTTGGGTGCCACGAGTCAGTTGAAGGTGCCACGGTAACGTGCTTGTGTGATGGATGGGTGACTTACTCCATTCGGCCTCGACGCGGAGGAAAACCCACATCCAACGACGGGCAACCTCAGAGAACATGAGTACGAAAATTCCAAACTCGGTCTCACTCATCCAGACAAATCCGGGCACGTATCTAGAGAGCCAGGAGAAACGGATGGCCAGATCAATGATGATCGCGAGGTAGTATTGTCGGTTGGCGAAGTAGCGATGGCGGCGCAGTCCGTACGGGTGTTCGTGGCTGTGGCGTGCCGAAGAGAAGAGGGTCAAATCCCAATCCTTGGTGATATCCCAGTAGAAGGAGTATGCGGAGTTGATGAATGTAAAGAAAAACCTGTAACAGAGGAAGCGCGGTTAGACAGGGCTATTTGCAGAAGGCAGGAAAGAGAAGTCGAGCACGTACAAGAGTCGTGAAAGGCTCATCTCACTGTAGCCATAAAAGTCTAGAGGGTTGTAGTTCTTTAATTTGGCTGCCAGGATGATAACCGGGAACGCGGTGGCGTATTTCAGGGCGTTAGCCAAGTGCTGGCCACCCTGGCTGCCCGCAAATTGACTACGCTGGGTAGCTCGACGCACACGCAAGTATTCAATGAGACATTGGCGAAGTCGAATGATACTGGGAAAAGCGATGATCAAGGGAACGACGTAATCGTTCGTGCGACACTTGCGGGTGGGTTTGGACGTGCTGGAGGCGTCCGTGGTAAAGAACATGCAGAAGGTAACAACCAAGTCCGCGAGGACTCTAGAATAGCTTGTCAGAGCATCTGCCAGCAGAATATCCCCGAATTTGCCATCTTGTGCTTCCGCCAGACCCCCAAGACTGATGCGCTTCAGGGTCATGAAGAACCGATATCGGCCCGAGCGCGCGATCCGGTAGAAGGGCAGGATGAGAATAAACAGTCCTATGAAAAAATATGATTGCGGAATGAATTCCACCGCTTCGACGCGTTCTGCGGAGCCATGGGTGGCGGGCCAGAAGATAAGGAGGGAGACGACGAGCGGGATGGTCAGGAGAGTGGCCAGCTGGTATGTCGAGGCATAATGCGGGCGTTGACTGGAAGATTGTCGGGCAGGGTATTTAATGAGGGCAGGGACATCCTAAGAAGAAGCCAGTCAGCGAATGTATATAACTATATACAAAAGAAGATGGGAGGAAGGAGGACGCAGAGGGAGAGGGAGGGGCATCACCCACAATATTGGCCTTTAGGAGGTACTGCAGATTAGCACCCCAACCCCAGAAACCTATCGATAACGCATTGTGAGCCAAATGAAATGCCGGGGATCAGAGGAGGGGGGCGATCATCCAAGGGGGTAGCATACCAGCCAGCAGTATCACCGCCACGCGATAGGGGAAGGGGAGGAAGAGACTGAAGCGATCCAATTGAGCATGTTGATCGACACCCATATTCCATTGAAGAGACGGCGGCGCCGGGAATTCAGCACCAGAGGGAAACCGAGAGGGAGATTCGGAAGTGACTCGAAGGAGGCTCGAGGCACGGAGCCAGTAGTGAAGAGTATGTAGCGACAGTGACTGATCAGGCGAAGGGGGGAGAGGGGGGTTGGAGGGGGGGAGATCAAGGAGCGACTCGGGGTGAGGTTTGACAACCACAAAGGGCACTCAAATCATGACCAGCGAAGCAGTTTAAGCAGCGGGAAGTGAAGAAGCTCAGGGACCGCCGGTTTCAGGTCGGCTTTCCACTTTGGACGGGGCCCAGCGGCTCCGCGCGGCTTCCGGCTTGTAACAACGCGCACTGGTCCCGCTTTGGGTCTAGCCTGGCCTCTTTGGGATTTGACCCTTAAGCACGTGAGTAAGGTCATGTGATATGTGTCACGTTGCGGCTGTATGAAGCATCACGTGAGTATTACCGAGGCACTGGCGTTGCTCCTCCGCCTTTCGGGGATCCGCTGTTGCATGCCGGTGCTGCTATACAATCCCACGCGCCTTATCTCTCCCTCTCTTTCTCCATTTCTTCCTGCCATGATAGCTGCTTCAGCGAGGGAATAGCTCTCTCTTATATTGACTCCGCATTCCTTCCCTCAATCATCACCTCTCCCACTCTCCCACCTCCCTCACAATGGCCGACGAAGATCTCTCCCTAACTACCTCCGCTCCGACACCGTCCGTCTCTCCCTCGGCCCATTTCTACCCTTTCGCTACCTCCCCAGATATCATTCGGTCGCATGAAAAGGATGTTTTCATGACAGGGAGCTTGACAAGCCAAGCCCATTCAATTGTTCGCTCTCTCCGCGGAGCTCGCTATGCACACACCCACTCCGATGCCATCAAACACCTAACCGAGATCCTCTACTTTGCCTTGACCACCTTCATCGGAAACCGAACCCTAGGAGAAGAATACTGCGACCTGGTCCAACTAGAAGATGACACCCTTCAGCTCCCTTCTCTCCCCAGACGAGCCGGATATATCCTCAGCAGTATCCTGCTGCCCTGGACGCTGCAGCGAATTCTCCCCGCTTTCCGACAACGACTGCGATCGAAGCTGGAACGCAGTATCGCTCGACAACAACTCAAAGCATCTCAAGCCAAGAAGACAGCAGTGGAGCAAGCCAAGGATAACAAGTCATCTAAGAAACCGTCCTTCTTCACGAAACTCCGGATCCAGAAATACATCCTCGAGCATCTGGACTCCATCACGTCGCTGTCACCCATATACGCCGTTAGCATCGCAACATTCTATTTCACGGGCGCTTACTATCATCTCTCGAAGCGGTTCTCGGGCCTGCGGTATGTCTTCACGAAGAAGGTAGAGGAGGGTGAACAACGAGTCGGTTATGAAGTCTTGGGTGTGCTGCTTGTCTTGCAGATCGCTGTTCAGGGCATCCTGCATATCAAGAAGGTTGGGGCCGATCTGGGACAGGAAAATGAAGACAGTGGGCTAGAAGTAGAAGGTGGTATGAAACAGTATGGGAGCTCCTTGATACCGTCACTTGAAAACCCCTCCTCGCTTCCTCTCCTCCCGGCTTCTGCTGCCCGGTACGATTTCTCAGAAGACTCCCATGCGATCCCCTGGATCCCTGAAGGACAACAGCGCAAATGTACGCTCTGTCTGGAGTTGTTCAAAGACCCGAGTGTCACGACCTGTGGACATGTCTTTTGTTGGACGTGTGTGCGGGACTGGGTACGGGAGAAGCCGGAGTGCCCGCTTTGTCGACAGGAGGTGCTCTTGTCGAAAGTGCTGCCCTTGAGAGGATGATTTTGATGGTTTGATGACTTTACAGCGCTGTTTATATACATGACTGACTGTATTATGCTTTCTTGTCTATAATTATACCCCATTCATTCTAGAGGCAATTACTTTGGCAGTCTCGATTGTAAATGACTTTGATTTTCTATTCAGTTTCTCATGAAAATGTTGTATATATTGATTCTAGCATGGGTATCATATCATGTTCTAGCTCTGAGATATATATAGATCCAATATCCGAAGTTTAAGGCCTTTAAATCTGGTCATTCCAACCACAGAGTATATATCAAGTCGCTCTATGCTTTAGACGAGTAGCAACTAACCTGTTTCATCGCGGAAGTATGCATATGCTGTGGCAACCACTGTATCGTCACTCTGTCTCAAGAATTCCACTAAGGCTTAACCACGTCGACATCATCCGGGACTGTCGTCACGGTTGGCTCCTGCACAATACGAATAGGCAGATCCAGATCCGCATGAGCAGGTAAAGGTGGTCGAGGGTCGAGGGCCTTTCGCTTTGCATCCATAGTATCGAATAAGCAGATACAAGCATACGAATCGGATGCAGCATCTACACATACACTCGTTACTCATATGTCAACACCAGGAGTGGACAGATATAACTTACATTGCACCTGACGATAACTCAAAGAGACCGTCCAATCACTGCACCTCACATCTTCCGCTTTCTCCAACGGAAGCCCCAGGTGCTCCTCCACCTGCTCACTGAGATTGACAGGTCGTTTGTTAATCAGTTTCGGGTTACTCTGACAGTATTTGACCAGTTTATGGAGATGGCTAAGCTCGAAGATCCCGTGCGCATCGATCTTGAGGTACTTGCGGAGACGCGTGCAGTCTGCTTTGATTGATACTCCGAGCTTCGTAATGTCTGGAGATTCGATTATTTGTTTGAGAGATGGAGGGACGAGGTCGCTGAGTTTTCTGCCTGGTCTAAAGAGCGCGACGTGGAAGAGAGCGATTCGCTCCCTGTTTGCGACTTGGATCAGGGATACGTTGTCTTGGATGCTGTTCCAGGCGGAGGCCTGCGCTTTCCATTCCATGTCGAAGCCGAGGATCTTGTCGTTTAGGAAGAGTTGCGCGACGTCTTCGCTGCTTTTGAGTGTTTTGCAGTAATGGACGATGATGTTTTTGCCTTCGGGGCTTTTGAGCATGGTGTGGCTCCAGAACTTGGGTGTTGGGGGATCCTCGACGGGTGTGAGGACTGGTTTTGATTCTCCTGCTGGGTGGTTTTCTGCGGCAGACTCGTCTATGTCATTGTTGCTTGCACTCAGTGTTTCTGACTTGGCTAGTAATACTGGTGATTCTGGTGTCTGGAGTTCTCCGACGTCTTTACTGTCGATTATATGCTCAATCATTGGTCGTGGGACTGTATTCGAGCTATAGCATCTTTCTTGTGCTGGAAATGGATAGGTTATATGTCTGTGACTATGAGAAACGGCATTTTGGCGACACGTATATGGAGAAGTCTGATTGCAAAGTGTCGTGTCGCTGGCCTGTGAAGGCCGGGGTTTAAGTTCGCAGGACCGACTGTCGATCCTGGAAGAGACATGCCTTGTTCCAGGTAGGCTTTGTATACTGTCTTTCTCATTTTTGCTCGAGCTGGAACGTGGAGAGCAGCTACTTCTATTCAGAGCAGAGTACGGCCTGCTTATTGAGCCATTCAGCGTCATATGGTGAATCAAGGCGCACGACCTGCGCAGCAACCTTGAGCGAGTGGCTGTCATGGCAGCCTGGTTTTGCAGAGTGTGTATGCACATATATCCATTGGTCGAGCTAACACACATATAAGCATTTGTTCAGTCATAAATGGGGTAGAAATACCAAGACATAGCTGCTTCGCGGAGAGCCATCATAGTAGACCAGATCAAAAGAACTAAATAAGTGACGCTTGCCGCCGGCTTCTATCATTGCCACCGGTCTTTATAAATCGCGTCAAGTCTTTACAAGTCACGCAAAGCACACTGATTGAAAGAAGTCCATAGTACGAATATAGAATCATAACAATCTGCTCAATTAATACATCATGTTGGATTTCAGCAGCCTTGAAACCGACAAAGCGACAGGGCGTACCTGAAAATCACCCCGATGAAGCGGAGCGGGATTGTAGATCTGATTGGGGGAGGCCATCCGGGCCGGATAAACTCTGCCACCGGGGCCCGCCAAGATTGTGTGGATGGAATCATTCCAGCATCCGTTCGTCAGTCCGCCCGCTTCAATTTTCTATATTAGATCTAGGCAAGGGGCTCCTGTTTCCACCTAGAAGAAAAACAGTAAGTCGTCTATGGATTTAGATTGTGTATCTCGAGGGATATATGCTGAGTTGAAAGTAGTTGCTTAATAACCTAATCAACCCACAATGGCGTCACAACTTCTTCCTCTTGGTAAATGACCCTGTCAGAAGCCGTGTATACATGGCGTACTTGTGATGATCTGCTTATTGACATGCGCGACAGAATTGATCGACAAGTGTGTCGGATCCAGGATATGGGTCATCATGAAGAACGACAAAGGTCTGCAGGAACATCTCCCTCCCTGCGGGGGAGGGGTAGACGATAAGCTAGCTAGTTAACATGCATTCAGAATTCGCCGGGACGCTGCTTGGATTCGATGACTACGTCAGTAAGTATTTTTCTGTCGTTGGTGTATGATTTGCTTGAGCTGACCTTCTGCAGACATGGTCTTGGAAGACGTGACTGAGTTGTAAGTCCCCGTATCTGCTATCTGAATGGAAATCTCCTATCTCTGAGGCTCTTCTTTTCTTAGCCGTTATCCTATGTGTGAAGCAAGAAATCTTACTAAACATGCGATAGCGATTACTCCGGCTCTCAAGTGAAGCTTCCCAAGATTCTGTTGAACGGAAACAACGTCTGCATGGTATGTCTGCAGTCATACCCCTGTGTTACTGATTATGCTCCAGACTGACACTATTTATTATTCAGTTGATCCCCGGTGGTGAGGGACCGGTCGGTAGCTCTTAGGTTATGATATCCACGATTCTTCTTCTTTGATATGTCAAAATGGTAATAGATTGAACGCTCGTGATTGAGATAGACAGTAGTAATGATGGAGTTTACTTCTGACAAATCCTGGCTATCAAGGTGTTGAGATCTACAGATGCAACTTGATGTAGTTTTTTTCAACATAGCATAGTAGTTTCCTTCACTAAATTCTCTCTGAAATCGAGCTCTTGCTACTGTTCCTCATCCTAACAATATCAGGATCACACATCACGTGGAAGAAGCATTATTCCATTCATAATCATTCATATATAGCCACATATTACCGTGCTTACACTCCGAGACTACATGCTCAGGTACAGGCCTATGCAACATAGCCCATGCTGCAAGCAACCTCACGCAGGTACCGGTCAGGGGCTCCTGGACCAAACACCAAATATTCATCGTGCAGGGGTCAATGGAAAAGAAAACACATACGAGTACGTATAAGTTTTAAACTACCACCTGAAGAAGCTGCATACCCCTTACTACCTCTACTACAGAATGAGCTCTTTCAGTAAGAAACAAGCGCACAAGTAGAACTCCTATCCATGATATCTCCTATAGAATACACCCTCACGACAACTTTCCTATTCAGAATAACAGCGTATCAAAATGCTGTGTAGCAATGACTATGCAATATGAGGTAGATCTGTACTACATTTGCCAATTCATTATGTACTGTACACAACAGGCTAACAATAGTGACGTAGACAACTCGCCGAAGGGCAAGAACTTAAAGTGAAGTAGCAGCTCTAAACCTAAATATGCCGCGGTACTTCTTCTCTTACCTGCATAGCAAATAACAGCCACCTAATTAGCTATTCACTACTAGATGAAATGAGTGGTAGTGCCTAAATAGGCATTATACCTGACCTTAGTTCAGTCCCTCTTTACTAACTTCCAAAATGTCTTCCTCCAAACCCAAACCCCACACGACCACCACCACAATCCCAAATCAAAACCCGCCAGCGTCGCATCAACCCAACCTACCAAAGTAATTAGTCTACCCCAGACTTTCCCCAACCCCCAGACCCAAGGCTGTCAGACAAACAAAAGTCGGGGTAACATACATCATCGTACATGGGACATGACAGGTATTTGCGGGGTTAAAGACTGAAGAACTGAAGAAAGCGGGAATGAAATGATTCTGTTATGTAACAGAAATCTCTTCCCCGCCAAAAAAAATAAAAGTGGGCGAGGCTAGTCAGTTCAGTCAGCTGAGAAGTTTATACCTCATCTAACTTTAATTTACTACTTAACTACATACAACAACGTATGTTAATAAGTTGTCGGACTTATTCGAGATGTAATTGAGCCGTGGTTTGGTGATGGGAGTTGATGTTACGTAGATACTTTCTTGACCTTGACCTTTTTGCTTTTGATTATGATTTTGCTTTTGCGAGGTGTAAATTATGGGGTTTTTGCTTAGTGTCGGATGGATGGGGTTTTGGATTGCGGGGTTTGGGGGGTTTTTTTGCTTGGTTCTGCCGAGGGACGGGATACTTACTACGTATTACTCATTGTGTCGAGAACAGAAAAGAGAGTACTTTAATAAATAATGAGTTGGGACTTTTGTGTATGTATCTTACTTATTTGGTGTGTCTATGCTCAATAATGGTTGATACTAGATGCATTCATAGAGTTATGCGGCGTGATTATGTCCCTGGATGACAGCCTACACAGTAGTAATAACTCCATCAATATCTGGCTGAATTCTCTGCCCGTGCAGTAAGGGGCTTTTTTCAAAACAACAGGGTAAACCGCATAGACCCAGTCTAGAGCTGACACAGCCTGATTCTATTCTTCGATCAGTAATTTGAACGTTGACCTCGGTATCAGCGCTAGGCTCCATTCCAGCTAGCTGGCTCTGTCTCCAGTAAGCTCTTCCTGCACGTAACCGGACCGGTCGCACAGCTGGGCAACCCCAGCGCTTCATTTGCTGGCAGCTGCATGTCGCTTGACCAATCAAAACGTTGTAGATCTTTTGCTCGGACTGGCACCACCGGGCCGGTGTGTGCGTACACAGTACTTCTGGGCGGACACACAGATTGTTCGTGCTAGTGGTAGAGATTCTCCGCTTCTTTACAGATGCTGATATGCATGATCTTGGTTGATACTTTGTACTCTTCTCTCGAGTAGCTTCAGCTGACTGTGAGGATGTGCTGCGGTTTTTGCTTTTCCTAGCCTTGCGAATGGGCATGTTGATCATGTGTCCTTCCCACTCTGAACAGCCCACAACTCTATAAAGGGGATTCCGCAGTATAACACACCCGGTTATGAAACTACCATGGCAGGGCTGCATGTCGGAGCATTCGCAGCAACTAGAGCGATAGCTCAAACGGAGCGGCGGCCCAGGCGTCAGGCTACCACATGCAGCTTCGAAGCACAGTAGCACCACATTTCACATGGCCACATGGCTCACACGGCTGTACTTTGCCCGAAGCTATCCCCGATATTGCCATCGGTGTCTGACATGTCATGTGAAGAAGTGAGCCATAGATTGATTCTCTCTCTCTGTGTGGAATGGATGGCACCACCCACTCAAGAGGCAAAATCAACGAACAAAAGAAAAAAGAAGCTCCGCAAGAGGCAAATAAACAAACCCCTTGGCGTGAAAGGATAACCTGACTACGAACCACGGATGGGGCTTATACGAGCCGGCGATATCCGACCTTGCCACTAATTAGTAGACTGGAATCCTGATTGAAGGACTCTGTAGGAAAAGGATAGACTAAGCAGGCACCACTCGGACATCCTGATTCAACGTTCCTCGAGGGAGGAGGCGTGGGCTTAGCCTTGCAGGACTCGTCGGGCTATTGCGCCGAAAGAAACTCCAACTGGCTTCTATCGGTCTTCCATGGGTTCAGTTCCTCCTCCCCTGCTACCCTAGCAGGGACGCGACGGGGCGAACGAGCGGGTGGTGGTGGTGGTGTAGTGCAAAAGCTTAGAGGCCCGATCGATCAGGAGAACCGAAGCCAAATGACAGGGCGACGTTCCAGAATTCAGCCAGGTTTGGAATAAGCAAGGGGTGGTAGCCAGTCATCTTCTCTAACCGGACGTTCCTTCAGGATCCTTGAAGAACAGGGATACAAAGTATCATGATGTGGAAAAAAGAAAAAAAAAAGAAGTTGGTAAAGGGTGGCAAGAGGTGGCACAACTGGGAGTTACGGTAGTTACCTTTGCTTCGTTGAGGTGTGCGAGATGAACTCCCGAGTACTTACTGCACTCACTGTCAGTGGCTCTGTATATTTCGTTACCTTGTTCTTAATTTGCGCCATCATGACACAGGCATCAGGAGTGATGTACCTGAGCGCGGCTGTATAACATAGTGGCTCTAAATGGATATTGCACTTGTT